CTAGTCACTGAAAACTCTATGCATAGCAGAGAAACATTGTCAGATATAGGACTGGAAGGTGGGCGGGCACTCAGAAAGCGATTGTGGAAAAAAATTCCTCCTCAAAGTAGGGTTGACCATAATGACATGAATACAGTTAAGCTCGGGGGAAAAAAAACCTACAGTAGTTAACAAAATGCCTAAACCCTCTTTATTCAAAATATGGTCCCTAGGCTTATAGCATCAGAATCACATGGTAATTTGCTACAAATGCAGATTCCCAGGCCTTGCCTCAAATCTACTGAAACCGAATTTGCAACTACCCAGAGGATTCTTGGTGTAGCGCTGTGGCTTAATGCGCTGGACTGTGAGGTCGATATGACCGGCAAAGTCGCGGTTCAAGCAAGCACGAGTAGTTCTTCGGAAACCCCATACAGGGTCATTATGAGTCTTGATGGCACTAAACAACACCAACATGGAGATTCCTATTATCTCTTGAGAAACACTGACCCTAAAGACCCCTGTGCAGGACATTGGGGTGGGGATGGGAGTGACTGGCTCTGTTTCCCTTGAATTCCTTCCTTTCTTTTGCATCTGGCTGCTTTATTAGGTTCCCTGGCCACATCACATCCCCCCCCTTTTTTTTTTTGAGAGAGAGATGGGAAGTCAGCACTTCAGACCCACCAGCTGCTCCTCGGAAACCCTATACATGGTGGCTATGAGCCTGAACCAACTTGACGGCACTTAACAACAACTATATTTAAAACAAGGATATAGAAAAAAATGGAAGACATTAATATATAACAATGACATAACTGAAGAACTTGCTTTCATGGGAAGATTTTCTTCTTTAAGTTTTTAGAGTTGCTTTTTAATTCTTTTATATGAACTAAATTCTTTTTTATATAAGCCTTGATATATCTGTCATTCAAGGAGCCCTGACAGAGTTGTAGGATAAGTATTAGATTTCTAACAGCAAGGTTGGAAGTTCAAAGCTACCAGCAGCTCCGAGAGAGAAAAATGAGGCTTTCTGCTCCTATAAAGAGTTATAGCCTCGGAGACCCTGTAACGAATAGGAATGAACTCCATGAAAGTGGGATATCTGCCACTTGTAGAGGCTTAAAGATGTAGGCAGTGTTTCAATCTCCAAGTGAATCCCTGTAACACTCATACTCAGCCTTCTGCTTCTACACACACTGCTTCCTCAGTCTGAAATGGTCTATCTCTTTGCTTTACTGTAAACTATAATTCTCTCCTCTATAGAGTCTGCCTTTAGTCTAGAACAGGGTTTGGAAACTTTTTCAGCAAAGTGTCAAACAATGAACATTTTAGACTTTGCATGCCACATACTGTCTCGTCACATATTCATCTTTGTTTGGTTTGGTTTACAACTCTTTAAAAAAAGTGTAACAACCATTCTTAGCTCGTGTTGGGTTCTCAACCAAGTTATTGCAAAATTCCAGACATTATTCCATCTCTAGACTGAATAAATCACATGTGCCACACACACGTACTGATATTTTTAGAATAGATGCTTCTGGGTTTAACATACATCCTCTGTTTTTAAGCTTGTGCTTAGAAGTACAAGAACATGTCCACCACACCAATGCCATTTTAAAATACTGCAAGGCTGTGGCAAAGTTAGATGCCTCTTGGGTTTGGGCTGCCTTAATCTTTTCTATTTACTTTGGCGACAGCTGCAACTCTGGAGTTTTTAGCCAGAAAACTGCAGCTTTCATCCGGGTTGCTCACTCTAGGCAGCCAATGACGTAGACAAAGCTTGAGGCAAGTGTGGCGTCGGGTGGTTGCCTAGCGACGACTAAGTACTCTAGTACTTAGCCATACCGCGACGTTTTGGCTGCGGACAAAAGAGCAGCCATGGAAAAGAAGGGACCCTTAGTCCCCTGGCGCTTGGGTACCATGAAAAGGGATGTGCAGCTGCGGGTGTCCCCGACGGAGCTGAAGTTTTGTGATGCGATAGTGGGGAGGGTGTACCGCCTTCCGCTTACAGTACACAACATAAGTCGCTGGAACGTGAGGATCCAATTTCAGGAACCTTTAAAACCACAGGTGATACACCAAGGACAAAGGACTAGGATCTGGGCCGGGTGAGGGTTTTCAGGACGCCTCTGCCCTGGTTGCCTCTTTTTGCCCTGTGAATAGACACATGATTCCTACAGGTGTGGGGAGGAGGGGGCAGGAATGAACTTTCCAGGAAGCGCTGACTTTTTTTCTTTTCTGCTTCATCCTGGGAGGTTGGGAGGACAGATGCCGGCTGGGGGTGGAGGGCTGGGGGGGTGGAGGGTGGCAGATGTAGAGCCTCCCTATTTATTCATCAAAAACTTGGGAAGAAGGGAAGAGAATTACATGACTATCTCTTGTTAATCCACCCAAATCTTTTCATCTTGGTTTCATGATACTGTAGTTATCTTAAACATCATAAGAACTTCAATCAAAATTCCATACCAGAAGTATCCAAAAAGTTCATGGAAAAATGAAATTAAAAGAAAATGGAATTTTCCACGAACTTTTTGAAGCCCCCTCATATTAAGTACCCCTGAAATAATAAAGTACCTGATTACTCCAGATACTATAGAAATTAGTAGGAATACTTGTTCCTTCACTACATTAATGAGCATTTACTGAGCACCTGCTATATAACAGATGGTGTTGTGAGGAATACAGCTTGGACACAACCCTGCCCTTTAGGATTAAGTGGTCTATCCAACAACAACATTAATGTTCTGAGAGGGTCCCAATCTTCTGATTTCAAAGTCAACAACATTTCATGTGCTCTCTGTTTTAAATTGTGTATGTGACTAGATGGATATTAGTTTATTATGCTCATCTATTTCCAGGGAGACTTTTGAGATAGTGATACAGTGATAATATACATTTATTGACTATTGGTAATGATAAATAAGTGAATGAAATATTATATACATTTCTTTCCATATGCATAGAAAAGATATAGCAGTGATTAGGAGGCAAGGAGTTAAAGGACTCTCATTCTACTTTATATATTGCTTTTTAAAATGTGTCATATACTTGTACTAAGGGTGTACAACCTGAATGCTCCTTAGATGTGAGGATGGTGAGATTTTCACTCAGTGCTTTTGGGACCTTCATCAGAAAGACCAATTTGCTAGAAAAGGTCATCAATGAGATACAGTGACAAAATAATGGACTCAAACATACCAATGATCTCCACAATGACATGGGACTGACAATGTTTCCTTCTTTTATGCATAAGGCTGCCATAGGTCGATGCTGACTCAGTGACAGTTATGACAACAGCATAATTTTTGCCCCATAATCTTATGAGTACACTTTGGTGAACTTTTATGTGTTTCTTATTCTTGTTTTAGCTTGTGTCTAAGCTCTCCTTGTCTCCATGGGGATCAACTTCCCTGACACCCCACCACCACCACATTTTACATTCATCCTCAAGTCTAGATCAAGTAAACCCTTTTCTAGGCGACAATAATCATGTACTTTCATGAATTTTTGTGAAACTTATGTTGGAATCACTCATATGGTACTTGGTTAGAGAATGATTTATATTATTTAATTTTCAAGGGATGTGTATCTTTCTTCATTTGAGAGATTTTGTTTGTGTGTGTGAAACAGGACCTTTTCCAATTGAGAGAGAAGAGCTTAAGTTTTCGAGTCAGATACAGATATCTGTATTTTGGATCCTCCCTGCCTGAGTGACAATTGATGACATTAATTACACTCTACAGTACTCAATTTCCTTCATTATCTATATGCTGGTAACCCTGATCTCTGTCTCAGAACTGTTGAATATCTGATACTTCATAAGGATTCAACAGATATCAGTTATCCTTTTCTTTCCTTTTTCATATTTGTTCTGGAGTCAAGCAAACGTTTTCTAGAGCTTCAGTGGTTTTATCCTTCTTGATTGATTTCTCTTTTATATTTCCTACAAGTTATGAAGTCTTTGCCCTCATGAAGAAAGTATACAAAATACTATACATGTGGCTGTATGTATATACGTTTCAGTAACACTTTATTATGTTTTTCTCCCTTTAATTAGATTTTAGGCTTCTTAGAATGGAGATCATTTCAATTCTGTAAGCATCTCATATTTTTTAAGTAGCCCATGGGCATTTACATATTTTATTCTGAGTTGTAAGCTACAATGAATGTACGTTGAAAGCATATTTTAAGGATCTAGAATCTAATGAATATATATATATATATATATATATATATATATATATATATTCACTGAATGTTTGCCTTTAGACAGAAATAAGGCCTATATCCCAAGATGTCGCTTGTAATAATATGCACTCCTAACTACAATTACAGTAAGCCCTGGTGAAGCAGTGGTTACAATGCTAGGTTGCTAACCAAAAGGTCAGCAGTTCAGCCCAGCCAGCTGCTCTGCTTCTTATAAGGAGTTTAAATGTATAATTTGATATTTGATTTTTGTTTGTTTTTTCCCACTGCAGTTCAGACTGGTTTTGAAGAATTTTGAAAAAGAACTTGCTTCTGGACTTTATATGACATTTATGGTGGAATATCATCCTGATACCACTGAAGACGTTTTTGACCAACTAATTATTTCAGCAGGAGATAAAACAGTTGAAGTTCCTCTAATGGGGTATGTTATCTTCATATCTCATAACGCTATTTTGATCAATCTTTATGTTGTTTCTAAGGGATACACTTTTTTTTCTCTGACCAATAGACTTTACTTTTCCTAATGTTGATCTTAAGGGAAGATTTTTTTTTTTTTAATTGTGTTATGTGAAACAAATGGAAGTCTAAAGCTCTGTAACTCTTTCTTAAAATAACTTAAAAACATCAGTTTAATGTGATATTAATTGGATTATTATGAATCTGTTTCTATTTTGGTTAAAATGTAAAGTTCATTCATTTTTAAAAATAATAAAGATGTTTGGATTGTAAACAATTGAAATGGTACTATTTTAAGATTGATTTAAGGAATGTAACACAAAATTAAGTAATTTATTTAGAGATTAACTTTGATAACGAACATCCATTTGACCAGGTGATTGTTGTTTTAATTTCACAAGGAAAATTGTATGCTTCTATTCACTGTAAAGTTTCCTATAAAACATTAAAAAAATGTTTTCCATTCATGTAAGTACATACGTGGTCCATCTTCTTTTCCCCGGTAAAAAATGGTTCTACAGGTATTATTTATTTTTCTCTATTTGTCTTATACCAGGAGTATAAGTACTAGAATATTTTCTGCCTATTACATGGTAGTATGATTCCCTTTGTGGTTTTCATTTATATCAACTCAATTTAGATCTGAAATTATTCTCTTACTCCATGTTGTTGAGAAGTTCTGATTTAGCACACCATCCTATTTTATATGGGAAATGAAAGGTTAATACGTGGTAGGAAAGGAACAAGCTTATTTATCCTAATCTAAAATATCTAATTTAAGTTTTGCAACTTGTCATTTTGGACCCATTTGTACATTGGTATGCCTGTGACTGACACTCAGATTTGCAATCTGTGCTATGGTTAAAAAAGGTTCTGTCCTTGAAAAGTAGGATTTTTTTTTCTTCTCATAATGTATGCCCTTTCTCATTAGAAATATTCACTCTTCACCACAGTTGCAACCTAAGGATACTGTTCCTTTAAGTGTGTGTTCTAACCTAAGGATACTATTTATTCCTTTAAGTGTGTGTGTGTGTGTGTGAGAGAGAGAGAGACTTTGTATGTGTGTGTGTGTGTGTATAGGTTGGTTGGTTATGTGCCTATGTGCCATGGAGTCGGTTCCGACTCATAGCGATCCTGTACAGGGTTTCCGAGTCTGTAAATCTTTACTGGAGCAGAAAGCCTTATCTTTCTCCCGCGGAGCAGCTGGTAGTTTTGAACTGCTGACCCTGATGATAGCAGCCCAATTCATAACCCCTATACTACCAGAGCTGCTTTATATATATATACACACATATATATTGTTATTGCTGTTATGTGCCTTTGAGTTGGTTCCAACGCATAGCAACCCTATATAGGGTTTCTGAGGAACAGCTGGTTGGCAGTTCAAACTCACCAGCTGGTCTTCGGAAACCCTATACAGGGTCGCTATGGGTTGGAACCAACTCAATGGCACTTAACAACAACATGTGTGTGTGTGTGTGTGTGTGTGTGTGTGTGTGTGTGTATATATGTAGTGAGAAAGAGAGAGAGTTTGGTGGCTCCACACAATAAGCACTGGACTGCAAACCACAAGGTCTGAGATTCGAGCTCACCAGCCGCTCCAAGGGAGAAAGATGAGACTTTCTTCTCCCACAAAGGTTTAAAGTCTCAGGAACCCTATACAGGGTCATTATGAGCCAGAATTGACTGGAAGACACTTAACACCAACAGCATATATAATAATTAATCAAATGATTGCAGATTTACATGCAGCTGTAAGAAATAAAGCAAATACCCAGGAGACATCAAGGTAAGTTGTTGAGTTCTCTCAGTGCAAATCCTCTTCCAAGACCAAGATGCAGTGGAAATACACGCTCTGATTGGCGATCACGCACATCACCCATAAGGAGAAGTGACTGAAGAACATCAACGAAGCGGCGAGCTAAGCCCTGCATCCTTCGGCAGACTGCTGGGAACCCGGGTGGAGACTTGGTCGGCCAGCAGCGAGGCAGGACCCGGGGGCTCATGGGCTCAGAGTCAGAGACACAGCCTCAGAGGATTAGACTGGGGAGCAAAGCAATCAGCTGATAAGAAGAGGGTGGACAGACACAAGAACACCCACACTTGCAGATGATACCCACTTGACCTGGCTTCATTGACTGGATGAACAGAGCTCAACCCAAAGAAGAAAGAAGAGGGGAAAAAAAGAAAAAATAGTGTCATCTGATACAACTTGATAAACTTGACCTGCACCTATAAATGCAGTAGCTCAAAAGAGGAAACAAATCCTTACTCTAAGAATTACTCCCACTCCCTCACCACAAAGAGTAGATAGGGATGGGCAACTTGAACATTGGCTACCCAAAATGGGGGGAGGGATACAAAGGTAAGAAGTGACTGGCTTACAAGCTTTCAAGAGGGAACCTAGATCCATAGGGTGGGGAGGATGGTAGAGTCTCCAGTGAGTAGTATCCAACCTGTCTAGGAAAGGCTGATGAAAAGAAATGCAGATGGGTCTCTTGTGATGCAAGGGTGAATAATTGTTATCAGGACTGATTGTGAGGACTGGAAATGTAAAGGTGGATATTTTATAGCAAGGAGGGGAGTGATTAACCTTTCAGTCTAGGAGTGGAGGGCCCTGGGACCATCACTGGAGAAGAGCGGAGATCGGGACCCCACCCAGAGAAGCAGTGAGGCCTGAGATGGAGACAGAGAGGATAACATGAAAAGATGGAGTGGCTGGGGACTTGAGACCAAGAGGGGGATAGGGGCTGTGTGCTGAGGACCATGAGGGGTGGGGGCTTGCAGGGTATACCCTTTGGTTGGGTGATGATGCATGGACGAGATGGTAACTATGGCAATGAAACCAATGTATGATAGAATGAATGTAAAACTAATGTTCTCTCATGTAAACTATCACAATATAAAAAAAAAATTTAAACAAAAAAACAAAGAAAATCTAAAAAAAGAAATAAAGCAAATAATAGAACCATGTACAATCTCTCCTGGTCATCATAACATTTTGCAAAACTGCAGGATAATACCACAATCAGAATACTGACATTGTTGCAATCCATCAATTGTATTTAGATTTTACTTGAACTCTGTTTATGTGTGTGTTAAGTTCTTAAGTACTATGTGCTTTTATCAACCTGTATGGGTTTGTGCATCTACCAACACAATCAGGATGCTGAACAGTTCTAATACCACAAGGATCTATCTATTGCCTTTTTATAACCACACTTACCTCCGTATCTCATCCCTTCAATCCATATAACATATTTGAAATTATAACATTTCAAATTTTATAATTTTGAATTATAAAACCACTACTTTGTCCTTCTCCAAAATTTTATAATTTCAAGTATGTTATATATAAGTAGAAACATACAGTATATAACCTTTTGGGATTCTTTTTGTTTTTGTTTTCCAAGCAAAATATATTCTAAATATTCAGTCAAGTTATTGCATGTATCAATATTTATTCATAAGTTGTTCCTTTTTACTGCTGAATAATGCTTAATGATATGCATATACTACTATTTATTTAACCACTCACCTGTTAAAAGACATCTGGGATGATTCCAGTGTGTTGGATGTTGTTATGAGCATCCTTGTACAAATATGTGAATAAATGTTTTTATTATGTAATAAATGCTCAAGAGTGAAATTGTTGAGTCATATGTAGTACCATATTTAATAAGAAAACTCCAAATTGTTTTCCAGAGTGACTGTAGCAGTCTACATTCAGACGAGCAATGTATGTTTGCCAGCATTTGGTGATGTGTCACCATTGTTTCAGTTTAACCATTATAATACGCATATAGTAAATCTCACTGTGATTTTCGTTTGAATTTCCTTGATAGCTACTGATATTGAACACATTTTTATGTGTTAACTTGTCATCTGTAGATCCTCTTTGGTGAAATCTCTGTTCATGTCATTTGCCTATTTTATAATCTTTTTTATTTTTTTTATTTTTACTGTTGACTTTTGAGAGGTCTTTAATATATTCTGGGTACAAATCATTTGGTGGATATGTGATTTGCAAATATTTTCTCCCAGTCTATAATTTGACTTTTTATCTTTTTAGCAGGGTCTTTTGCAGAGAACAAGGAGCCCTGGTGGTGCAGTGATTAAGTGCTCGACTGCTAACCGAAAGGTCAGCGGTTTGAACCCACCAGCTGCTCCTCAGGATAAAAGAGTTTGTGATCTGCTCCCATAAAGATTACAGCCTAGGAAGCCCAATGGGTTTCTATAAGTCAGAATCAACTTGGTGGCAAAAGATTTGGTCTTCTGTCAGTGGCTGCTTAGATATTGTTATGCTGAATGGGTTTCAGTGCAGCGTCCACAAACTAAGACAGACTGGGAAGGAAGGTCTGGTGATGACAAAGGACCTGCAGTGTTTTGTTCTTGTACATGGGGTCACTGTAAGTCTGGAGCTGATTTGATGGCAACTAACAAAATATTTGTAGAAATTAAAACACTTCTTTTCATAAGGTTCAATTTGTCAATTTTTCTTTTACAGATTCAATGATTAGTGGCAAATCTTAGAACTTTTTACCTAGCTTAGGTGCTAAAGATGATCTCCAAGCTTTAAAAAAAAAAAAAAAGTTTTATAGCTTTACATTTTGTATTTCAGTTTATCGTCTATTTTCAACTATTTTAAAAATGAAGCATGAGGTTTTGTTTGAAGTTCATTCTTTTTCTACTCTCCGCCCCCATCATGCATATTTACTTTTTTCAGCCCCATTCATGGAAAAGGCTATCCTTTGTTCATTGAACTGATTTGGAATCTTTGTTAAAAATCAGCTGAGCATATTTGTATATTTCTGAATCCTTATGTTTTATTCTACTTATCTATGTGTTAGTCCCTCTGCCAATGTCACACAAAATTATTTTAGCTACTCCAGAGCTTTTGCCTTTTCATTTAAATTTTAGAATAATATTTTCTGTTTACAAAAATAAGTTTTATAAGACTCATGTTGAACCTATTGCTCTATTTGGGAAGAATCAACATCTTTATTTTGTTAAGTCTTTCAATATATGAATGTAGTATGTTTTTTGTGATTTCTTTCATTGGCATATTATAAATTTCAGTGTAAAGATCATGTACATGTTTTGTCAAGTGTATACCTAAGAATTTTGCTTTCTAGAGATTAATTTAAAAATGTATTGTGTTTTAAATTTTTATTTTTGTATGTCATTGAATATAGAAATATGGTTGGTTTTGGGTATTGATATTGCATCCTGTGACCTTGTTGAACTCACTTTCTAGTTTTTGTTTGTTTTATTGCTTTAAAATTTCCTCCACATTATATTTATTTTTCCTGCCTTATTTCTGTGGCTAGAATTTCCAGCACCTGGAGGTCATCATGACTGGTAAAATGGAGGGTCAGCAAAAAAAGACAAAGACCCTTGTTACGGATTGAATTATGTCCCCTTAAAATATGCCAATTTGATTGTTCCATGTTTCTCACTGGCAGTGACATAATGCTATAATTTGGCAGTTTTGTAATAATGTCATAATCATCAAGATGTAATCTGATGTGATCAGGCAATAAATTATAGCAGGATTGGATGGAATGTAAAGTCCTTATTCAAATCACAGCCCTGATCTATCCTATGTAAGGGGAGTTTCCCTGGGGTGTGCATTACCTTTTATCTTATAATAGATAAAAGGAGAGAGAAGTGAGCAGAGAAGAGGGACCCTACTACCACCCAAAAAGAAGAGCTGACATTTGAATAGGTCCTTTGGACCTGGGGTTCCTATACTGTGAACCTCCTAAACACAGGGGAATGTTGGTACTAAAATATATAGAAATCTCCAAGGAATGCCAAGCCCACAGATGTTGAAAGGAGACAAGGACCTTACCCCAGAGCTGACATACAGAGAAAGCCTTCCCCTGAAACCAGCACTCTGGAATCAGACTTCTACCCTCTAAATTGTAAGAGAATAAATTTCTGTTTGTTAAAACCCTCATCTTGTGATATAGCTGTAATAGCAGCATTAGATAACTAGGACAACCCTCAATGTTACTAGGTAGCTTTTTGATTTGTTGTAACTGGTGTCGCTCTTAGTCATGACTGACACAATGGCATCTACCAACAACAGCATGTTAAAAATGAGTGGCAAGATCAGCCATCTTTTCCTTGCTCTCTCTTTTAGGGAGGAAGCAGTCAGTCTTTTTACTATGAAGTATAATGTGAGCAGTTTAATGGTATCTGCTATTTAATTGCTATTTTTATGGAGTCTCTATAAAGTTGAGGTAATCCATCTATATTCTAAATTGTTAAGAGTTTTGTTTTGTTTGTTTTTGTTATTAACAGGTGTTGAATTTTGTAAAATTCCTTTGTTGTGTCAACTCATATGATCATATGATTTATTTTCCTTTAATTTATTGAACTTTGAATCCTTGCATACCTATAACGAAGCCAAGTTGATCATGTTGTATATATTTTTTTCATAATTCTTTGATTTTATTTTGTTAACTGTTTAGCTGGGGGTATTTGTGTCCCAATTTATGAGATTTATTAGTCTGCAAATTTTTTATTTTTTTCTAGTTTTGGTATCAAGGTAATACTAGTCTCTTAAAATGAGTTGAGAAATATTCCCTCTTTTTCTGGAAGATCTTGACATAAAATTGATGTTAGTTACTTAAATGACAGAGTCCTCCGGTTAGGTTAGCTATACCTTGAAATTTCTCTTTCAGGATGTTGTAAATCCCAAGTTCAGGGTATATTTATCTTCTATCTTGGTTAAGTTTTTGTAGTTTGTGTTTTTTAAGGATTTGGGCCATTTTTTCTAAGTTTTTGATGTTATCAATTTCTTTATAACTATAAGAAATTGCTCATAGTTTTCCTTTATTACCTAGAATGGCTGCAGGATCTCTAGAACTATCTAGTAAGATTTGTGTCTGCTTTTTTTTTTTTTTTTTTTCAAAGAAGATATTGTGTTTTTGGTGAAGGTTTACATAGTAGTTAGATTCCCATTCAATGATTTCCACACAAATTGTTCAGTGACATTGATTATATTCTTTACAATATGTGACCACCCACTCACTGCCATTGAGTTGATTCCAACTCATAGTGACACATTGTAATTCATACAATTGTGACTCATTGTACTTACTACTCACCACAAGATTCAGAACCCACAACTTAAAGCCATTCATCTATGGACATCTAATCTTAGAAAACTGGCCAAAATCCATTAAATGAAGTGGAGACAGTCTCTTTAACAAATTGTGCTGGCAAGAGTGGTTATCCATTTGTAGCAAAATGAAACAAGATCAATAGCTCACACCTTATACAAAAATGAATTCAAGAAGGATAAAAAACCTAAATGCAAAGCTTAAAACTATAAAGAAAAATGAAGGGTACATTTGTTGTTGTTTTAAGTGACTTTGAGTTGGTTCCGACTCATAGAACCCTACATAGGGTTTCCAAGGAGTGGCTAGTGAGTTTGAACCACCTACTTTGTGGTTCAAACTGACTTTGCGATCCAGTGCTTTATCCCACAGTGGTACACCAGGATTTTTGGCATAAATAGACTATGAAACATAACCAAAAATGCCCAAAGAGCAGATGATTTATGTCTTCTCTTTTGATTTTTGTGTTGTTAGATGTTTATTGACTTTATAGTTTTTTTTCTTTTTGAAGAATCAGCTATTTGTTTCATTGATTTCACTATTTTTTTTTCAGTTACATTTATTTCTGCTTTATTTTTATTATTCCCTTCCGTCTGCTTAATTGGGGTTTATGTTGCTCTTTCTTTCCAGTTTCTTGAGATCAGGAATTAGGCATCATCCAAACTACCCTACTTTGTTAAAAGTAAGTTCCACCTTTTGTGAGGTGGTTCAAAAACATATAGGCTAATGTAGCTAATGTAGAGATTGTAAAAAGGAGCGCCAAACAAGTTTTGAGCAATAAAAATATCAATGAACTAAATGGGTACTCTCTCAAGGTGAGCACTTAGAAGTAGGCTATCATTTACATGAAAAAAAATCTTATGTGTTAAGAATGTCTTCTTATCTTATTTTCATATCTTTATATCACAATTTGTTTCTATAGACTGTTATCAGTGGACTGGTAAGGATATCAAACTGAAGAAAAAAAAATTGTCTATATATGTTCTCCCACAGAATTATGATTCAGTATTGACTTGATGGCAGCAGGTTTAGATTTAACTATTTGTTAAATTTAACTGTTAAAAAAATTAATTAAATGTGCTACAATTTGATGAACTTGACCTATACTTATGGCTGTAGTATCTCAAACCACCAACTGAGAGGGAAGGAGTCTTCACATCAAGTATCAATCCTTTCCCCTCTGTATCTAGGGTTGATAGAGAAGGGTAACTTAGGCATTGGCTACCTAAAATGGGGAAGGGAGGAGCTATAAAGGCATGGAATGACTGCCTAACAAATTTTCCAAAAGGGAGATTGGTTTCAGAGTGTATGGAGGAAGGTAGACTCCCCACTGACTAGTATTCATCTTGTCTAGACGGGTCTGGTGAAGAGACATGGACATAAGATTCTTATGATTTGATAGCGAGTAATTGTTATCATGACTAATTGCAAGTGTCACAACTGTAAAAGTAGAAGTTTTGTAACAAAAAGAGGGAAGTAGTGAATCATACTTTGGACATATTGTAAGGAGGGAACAGTCACTGGAAAAGGATGTCATGCTGGGTAAGATGGAAGGTCAGAGAAAAAGAGGAAAACCCCCAACGAGATGGATCGGCCAGGTGGCATCATTGATGGCATCGAGTGTGGCGGCGGTAGTGAGGTTGGCCCAGGATTGGACATTGTTTCGTTCTGCTCTGCATGGGGTCGCTATGAGTCGGTTCCAACTTGATGGCACCTGACAACAACAACAAGTGAATCATACAGTCCAGGAAGAGAGGACCCTAGGACCATCAAGGGAGAAGAGCACAAGCGGAATGTGGGACCCTATCCAGAGAAGCAGTGACACCAGAGATGGAGACAGAGATGAGGACATAGAGGAGAGAACAACAGAGGACTCTAGACTCATGAAAAGAGTAAGGCTGTGTGCTGGAGGCCAGGTACTGGTGGCCAGGAGACAGTCTTGCAGAATATGCCCTTCGGTTGTTTAAATGATTATGTATTCCTGAGTGTTTTTGTGTCCACCATCCCCCTAACACACACACACACACAAAAAAAAAAGGAATGGAAGCAAATACTGTTGAATGGTGATACACGGAGGAGATTGTAGTCATTACAATGAAACGAGGAGTGTAAAATCGATGTTCTCCCATGTAAACTATCACTCAATTCACAATAAAAACTTAAAAAAAAATAAACGTAATCTTTTCTCCTCTTCTAGGCTGATTCCATGTTGTCAATTGGAAGTTGACTCAGAAGTTGATTTTGGCACACTGGTTGCCAATAGTAAAGTACATTGCGAAGAGATTACTATTAGGAACTATGGCATATGTCCAGGTAAATACTTTCTGTCCTATAAGTTATGATTTTGTAAGAAAGTTGTTATTATTTAAAATGTTTGCCTTGTGTGATTACATAAAAAAGATGTCTATCATTTGCAGTAGCTCAAACCTTGATTATGACTTAAGTATTACTGTAAATAACAAGTAATATTTCAGAAAAAAATGAACATTCCTCCTTATGGTCCTGATGAACACAGCCTGGCTTTTCAATGTTTGCGCTCTCTTAAAGAGTAGGTGGTAGGCTGGTATCATGAAAGTGACTTGGTCCTTAGAGTCATCCAGAGATAAAATCATGACACCATGCCTTACTGTGATCTGTGGCATGTGTCTTCAATAAGGTGAAATGAGGAAACTCGAGTTTGCTTTTTTATATAAACTGGTCTAATAAAATGTATTATGTGAAATATGTGTGTATTTAAGATTCTCAAATTTGGGTGAAACATTAGTAAAAGTCCTGTTAAGATTCCTGGCTCATCAGAGGCACTCAGCCAATATTTATTATCTTTCCCTATCATATTCATCTTTGAATTCACAGTGAGGTCCCTAGTGGTTTATTTAAAGAATAAATGTGTCTCTCTTCCCCGGACTGCATTGCTACCTGGGATTCTTACTGTGGTCCAACTGTTTCCCTATGTGTGTGTGCAAGAGTTTGTGTATTCTTCATTGACCCAGTAGGCATATAATCACATATCCTTTGAGTCACTTGGTGGGATGGTCAGCATATGGGGTGACAGTGTTACCCTATCTGCCACAGTGAGGTGAGGACTGCTGCAAGAGAGGGAAAGTCACTCTCTCAGACTCTGCATAGAAAAAGATGTCATATCTCAATCCTTTTTCCACTAACTGAGTATGTCCTCTAGGATTACCTGGGAATGATTAAGTCAAAGGTAGTGTGTCACTTTACTGACTTCCTGGGGCAAAATAAAACTGATAATTGTTCCTCACTGGAAGTTGTCCATTTTGGTTTCCATGCTTTAATTTTTAAATGAATGAGTTTCTACTATCTGTGAGAATGTAAGTTATTAAAGGTCATGTGGTGTCACAATTAAGCACTCTACTGCTTATCAAAATGTTGGTGGTTCAATCCAACCTATCAGTTCCACAGGAGAACGATCTGACTACCTACTCCTGTAAAGATTACAAACTAGAAAACTCTATAGGGTGGTTCTTTTTTGTGATACGTAATTATACTCAGTGACACCTAACAGCGATAACATGTGCTCTGATTTTTATATTTAGAATGGGGTCTCATATTTAGGATGGTAAGTGACTAGGCGCTGTATGGTCTGTAGACTCTCTGGCTATATTTTCAAGTATTGATGTGTAATTGGAGAATTTTATTTGTATCATTTTGTTTTCCCAAACTGTACCTTAACTGTTCTCCTTTCAAAACTCTTCAGTGTTTTGAGCAAATAATATATGCTCTTTCAAAACTTCATGGTTTTACTACATAAGAAATCTGTATATAAGTAATAGGAAATACAATTTTAGTTGTTCAATAAGATAAAAGAAATAAAAGTAAGCTGTAAACCTGGATCTATATTTTAGAAAAATGATCCACATTGGCCTTTGGTATTGTGTTACTATTTTGTATGTGCATAGTATTTGCAGTAAATATTACATTTGATTATATTTATTGTAATTGAGTACTATGAAATGTTACTTACTCTAACCTTACGAGCAGAAATAAATTGCTAACAATGAATTACAGTCTTCTTGTCTTAACTTTCAAATCATACTTGGAGTGTGAATCATATTATTTTTTTCTACCTTTACCTGAATTAATGGTTTGTATTCACAGTAGTTCTGCAAGGCCAGTTTGAACTGCAAGGTTCAGCTGCTCCTAGGAACTCCTATACAGAGTATCGATGAGTCGAAACCAACTTGACAGCACTTAACAACAACAACGATTCACAGCAGTCAGAAAAAAAAAAAAAGGAAGGTCCTTAATGAGATGGAATAACACAATGGCTTTAACAGTGGGCTAAAACATAGCAACAATTATGAGGCTGGCATAGGTCTGGGCAATGTTCTGTTCTGGTTCTCTTGTACATTGTGTCATTGTGAGTCAGAAATGACTCAAGGGCACCAAACAACAACATTCACAGTACTGACTGTCATAAAACCTTTATTATTTGCAAGTACAATAATAAATACATATTCATGAGTATAATAATGTATTTTATGTAACAAACATAGTTTGAGAGTCAGAATCAAATACATATTTATAAGTAGACAGAGAAGACATTAAACATTCCACACTCAGCAGATTAATGATTTGTACAGCTTGGTTTTCTATCTTGTAGTGTCATTGGGGTTATCATCTTTGCTCATGCAGACCCCAAAGTCAAGCTGTATAATGATTTCTTGATGGCTTTTTAATAGCCCATTATGGAGCCACCATCCATGGACTTAACCCCCCAAAAATCTTTTCTTTATTCCGTCTTTAGAAAATGTTTTCTAATTTTAATCCTGTTTTCATTCTAATACTTGTCTATATGATTCAGTCTTTAAAATGTCTCTAATGTTAGTATTTTGTAATCTGATATTTTATCTCATTCTGATTCATAGTGACCCTGTATAGTTTCTGAGAAGCAGATGTGTTTCAATCACCAATCTTGTGGTTAACTGTCCAGTACTTATTATACAGCTCCACACAAGGAGTTCATATAATCCCTCAGTTTTTATATTTATACTGTACTGTGGAGGATAAGCACTGGACCGCAAGGTCATTTGAACTACAAGGTTTGGGGTTCAAACTTACCAGCCGCTCCTCTGAAACCCTATACAACATTGCCGGAACTGACTCGACGGCACATAACGACAGCAACAGAAATGATATCACTTCTTAAAAATGACTGAATTAACCATTTTTATTGTTGTGAGTTTGTCTTTGCCTTAGGTCATCTCTATCTTAAAAAAAAAAAAAAAAAGTGTTGCAATCTTTTCATGTTTTCAAAACATTTACTATGGTAGTATTTTATTCTCCTAAGTTATATCAATCTGTTTTTGGAAAATGGTATCAAATGTGATTTAAATATGATGGATTAGGAATTTGTAAAGTTTTTTAGGTTGACAACATGCTTATTTGTGTTAATATTTTTAAATGATATTAAAGAGACACTTGGCTGACTAAGTCCATTTGTTGAATATACTTGAGCACTGCTTAGTGCTATACACTGTATGGGGTGTGAAGACCACAGAAATGTTCAAAAGGGTATCATCTGATCTCAAGGGTCTAATTTTTTTTTCATATAAACATCAAGCATTACCATAAATTGTTAACTATTTCTACTTTGAAAATAACAAATTTTTGTAACTTTTTATATGTTATTTGATTACAGAATTGCATTTCCTCTGTCCTAACCCTGCCTGAGTTGGATTAATTCATCGATACAGAAATGTTATTGGCTAAAAGTATGAGTCCTAGGATCAAAAAGACCTGAATGAAAAATTCAAGCTCTGTTAATCAGTTACTAGTTGTTGCATTTATTTACTTATTTATTTATTTATTTATTTTTGCTGCCCTTTTGATCTGCAAGGGTTGACCATTCTCTGGTGAGCATGTCTCACTAATGTTGTTGTCCCATATAGAACTATCTATTGCTGAGTTGAAAATTCAGCCATGGGGTGAGTTCCGTTCCAGATCTCACCGGTGACCAAGGGCCACAGTCTTAGGGGTTCCACCAGTTTCTATCTGATCAGTCAGCCTGGTGAATTTTATGATTTAGAGTTTTGTTCAATATTTGCTTCCACTCTATCCCGGACCTACTAATGTGACCCCTTTTGCAGCAATTGTTATTGGTAGCCAGACACCATCTAGTTCAGGTCTCAGGGTCATGGAGACTGATGTTCACATGGTCTTTTTTTTTTGTGTGTGTGTGTGTGTGTGTGTGTGTGTGAATTGTGTGATAGCTTACTTGGGAGAACATTAGTTTTACATTCATCTTATCATATATCGTTTCATTGCCATGGTTATAATCCCCTCCATGCATCATCAACCAACCAAAGGGGTATACCCTACAAGCCTGCCCCGGGGTCATCAGCGCACAGCCCCTCTCCCTCTCTGGGTCTAAAGTTCCCAGCCACTCCATCTCTCCACATCATCGTCTCTGCTTCTCTGGATAGGGTCCCGCTCTTCACTCTTCTCCCTTGATGGTCCCAGGGACCTCTGATCCTAGACTGCAAAGTTAATCACTCCCCTCCTTGCTACAAAATGTCTACCTTTACATTTCCAACCCTCACAAGCAGTCCTGATAACAGTTATTCACTTTTATATTACAAGAGACCTATCCGCATCTCCTTTCATCAGTCCCACCTAGACAGTTTGGATACTACTCAGTGGAGATTCTACCTTCCTCCACACCCACTGGATCTAGGCTCCCTCTTGAAAGCTTGTAAGCCAGTCACTTCTTGCCTTTGTAGCCACCTTCTCCCCCATTTTGGGTTGCCAATATCCAAGTTGCCCGCCCCTGTCTACTCTGTGTGTGGAGGGGGTGGGAATGATCCTCGCTGTAAAGATTTGTTTCCTCTTTTGAGCTACTGCACCCATAGGTGTAAGTCAAGTTCATCAAATTGCATCAGATTACTCTTTTTTTCCTCTTCTTTCTTCTAGTTGATCTCTGATCATCCAGTCATTGAAGCCAGGTCAAGTGGGTATTATCTGCAAGTGTGGGTATTCTTGTGCATATGCCCTCTTTTCTTATGCTTCACTCTCCACTCTAGTCCTCTGTGGCTATGTCACTACTCTGGTGTAGCAGTTACTTTTTGCTGTGTAACAAATCATCCTGAAATTCAGCGATCATTTTAAATTGTTTGTGTTGACTGGAGCTCAATGATCTAGGCAGGCTCAATTGAGGATCTCAGCTGTTTTAAATTCCTCATTTGCAACTGAGGACACTGATTCTTACTGTAGGTCTGTGGATCAGCTGAGATTGCCCTGTCCCCCATGTGATTGTTCTGAGGCCGACCAAAGGGACAGTAGCTACCCAGGAGAAACACTTTGTATGGCAAGATTTTAAGAGACTATCTGGGTTTGGAACTGGCATACTATCATTTTCACCCACATACTTACGTTTAGCCATTTCATATAATATCATCAAGTCCAAAGGCAAAGGGTAAGGTAATACACTTCATGAGAGGGTCAGTGTGTCGATACAGAGTTGGGTCAAGAACTTGCCTCAACAATGTATATGAACACACTATCTGTGGAACTTTGGATAAGTCACTCAACCATTCTGCACTTTGAATTCCTTATTTGTAAAATGGAGAGAAATGATTTAATCTAATAGAATTTTTATGAGGACTAAGTAGAATATGGTATGCAAAGCTCTTAACATAAATTCCTGAACACTCGCTGTAAGTAGACAACATATACTGGCTATTGATTTAGGTTGAGTCCTAGAGTGAGGCTCAGGGGTTGTTGGATGACCATAGACACTGAACTTACAATCAGAGTTGTGATTTTTCACCTACTATAGACTATCTAGCCTATATTGTGTGTCTGTCCCCTGCCTATGGTGTGAATACAACTTTGTAAGGATCTAAAATGTAAATCATCTGCTCTTTTTCCTTTTAGGTGCATTTTTCACAGAATATACTGGTAGCTTGCCCATATTCCTTTTTCCATCTAGTGGTGTTGTGCAAGCTAATTCATCATTAATTATCAAAGTAGATTTCTGTGCAGATCAGCCTCAACTTTTAAATGAGGTGGTAAGGTGAGTAGATACTACATATCCAGTTTCTTAATGCTTTCGTATTCACTATTCTGATGTGCCTTTTGTCTTCGATTGCACAGATGTGTTAACTAATTTGTTCTTTCATTCAGCATTGATTAATTGAGTCCCTACTAGTTGCCAGACACTAGGGGCTCAAAAATGGTAAGTAATAGAGAGTAGATAGCATGTGGGTACACATAAGATGTGCTCCTAGTTTGAATTTTGTGGGGGTGAAGGAGTGAGCTTGGCAAAGTCTCCACTAAAGAGATGATATTTGAACTAAACACTGTCAAGAAGGCTTAGTCAGGCAAAGGGGAGTGACAGTGGTGGTAGTGGTGGTGGTGGTGGTGTGTGTGTGTGTGTGTGTGTGTGTGTGTGTGTGTGTTTGTACATGTATGTAAGAGATGAGTGCTAGTGACTGAAGTGAGTTTTGGTGACATTACTGAATAATGCTAAGACATAGTTGTAAGCTCTAATAGTAGCTTAGGTTTTATTGTGCAGACAGTGAAGTCTTAGGATGATTTTAAGAAGTGTCTTGATTTGTTGTTGTTGGGTGCCATTGAGTCCATTCCAACTCATAGTGACCCTATGGACAACATAACAAAACGCTACCCAGTCCTGTGATATATTCTCAATCGATACCATGTTTGAGCACAGTTCTGCAACTAAGTGTCAGTCCATCTCAATGAGGGTCTTCATCTTTTTTGCTGACTCTCTGTTTTACCAAGCATGATATCCTTTTCCAGGGACTGATCCCTCATGATAACCTGCCCAATGTACAAGAGATGAAGTCTTGCCATCCTCCCTTCTAATGAGAATTCTGGCTATTTCTTCCAACACAGATTTATTTGTTGTTGTGACTGTCCTTGGTACTTTTAATATTCTTTCCCATCATCATAATTCAAATGCATCAATTCTTCTATGGCCTTATTCATTGTCTCACTTTCACATGCATATGAGGCAATTGGAAATACCATAGATTGGGTCAGGTCAAAGTGACATCTTTGCTTTTTAACACTTGAAAAGGTCTTTGGCAGGAAATTTGCCCCATGAAATATGTCATTTGATTTCTTGACTGCTGCTTTAGTGTGAAGACAGTGGAGTCCCAGAATGATCTTAAGATACAAGTGTCTTGATTTGTTTGCATACTATTAGCAATGTGAAAAACACATCAGGAAGCCCAGATGTGGTGCGAGGAGCCTGACTAGAAGTTATAATAGTAAGCGGTAATACTAATAGTAAGAAGCAAGAGACAAATGATGAAGGCCTGAGCTCCGGAAAAAAAAAAGATAGGATGAATAGAAGTGAGCCAACTGAATAAAGTAATAGAGGCAGATTTCACCAGATATACTGACCAGCTGTATTAAAGGAAGGAGAGAAGAGGGACTCCTCTGTGGCAGAAGATCTTAAATTCAGTTTTGACATGTTGGAATTGATTTATCTTTCAGAATCCTGGGAGAACTGTTTAAGGCCTATTATTTTTATGTGTTTTCAGCCCCAGAAAGAAATTTACTGTAGCTATATCGTGTTAGGGGTCATTAGTGTATAAATGGTAGCTGAAGCATGGTAGTGATTAGATTAACTCTGAGATGGAGGGTAGACTGTGAGGAGAGCAGCAGAGACATCGACATTCATGGAATTTACAGAAGACCAAAACTCTAGAATATTGAAAAGGAAGGGTCTGAATGAGTTAGAAGAAAAACTAGAAAAATAAGGGAGGAAAGATGAAGGAAACAGTATCAATGATGACCAGTGTTAGAGAGAAATCGTGTGAGATAAGGACTTTGTTGATAGGTGTGCATTAGTTAATTATTTGTGGTATCTGCTGGAGCTAGATTAAACATTATTTCTGTTATGCCAGAGAGGGAAAAACAAGGGCGAGCAATTCCAAAAGAGGATTGAAATTATTCTAGGAAGCTAAGTTGTATGGGGGAGACATTCATTTCAGCAAAGATCTGAATTTTTGCTCATACTTAAGTTTGTAAAGAGCCCTGGTAACACCAAGATTAAGAATTCTAGCTGGCAGTCAAAAGGTTGGAAGCTTGAGCCCACCAGGCATGTGGCTTCATCAGGTTTTACTGTATAATACGCTTTTATAGTATGCCTGTTTATCCGGGTGTTTAACAGAAATATAAAAATATAGACCTCTAATTAAGACATGTTTGCATATATACCTATTTTATTATCTTGCAGAGTGTGCATGCAAGGTCGTACAGAAGCAACTTTGAATATCAGAGCTTTAGTGGTTGAGCAGATTATTGAACTGTTAAACATCAGTTGTGACAGACAGTTGGATTGTATACGTTTTGGTTCTGTTTTCTTCGGTACATCACGAATTGAACGTGCACTTTTATACAACAATAGTCCCGAACCCATAAACTGGGTAGCTATATTGCAAGAAAATGCAGTTGGAGAAGAACTGGTAAGTACATAGATCAGTGGGACAAGATCAGATATTGTGGATTGAAGCATATTATTTTGAACCTTCTGGCGCTGTAGGATATTGCACACGCCAGACACTCCTTGAAAACCCTATACATGGTTGCTGTGAGTCAGAATTGACTCAATGGCACATAGCAACAACAAAGTAACCAACAAATAAATGGAGTCCTGGTGTACAATAAGCACTCAACCACAAGGCCAGTTTAAACTTCAAGGTCTGCTGTTCAAACACACCAATCACTTCTCAGAAACCCTATACAGGGTTTCTATGAGTCAAAGCCTACTGGAAGGTGTTAACAGCCAACAATACCCAACAAAGGATTCCTGGTGTGCAGCAGGTTAAATGTAGGGCTGCTAAAGAAAAGGTCAGGGTTTTGAACTCACCAGCCACTCCATGGGAAAAAGATGAGGCAATCTATTTCCATGAAGATTTACAGCTCCTGAAAGTCAATGGAGCCAAGTTCTACTCTGTCCTACAGTGTGACTATGAATCAGAATCAACTTGACAGCGATGGTTTGCATTTGGTTTTAATAACAAAAAAAATTTAATTATTCGAAATATTTTCAAAATAAGACATTAGTTCATGTATTTCTAAGAGTAACTTAAAAAAAACCCAGTGAATTAAACTAACACTGATAGTAATAGATACCTGAAATAAAACAGGCAAGTAGTTCTTACAGATCAGTGACTAATGGGGATTTCTAGTCTCTATTCTCATCTGTTTTTCAAATAGCTCTTTAAATTTGATGCTGTATCATGGTCACATTTGTGTATAAGTGTTATTTTAAAGACCTTTAGATTTCCTCTATGATCTAGGTTCTGAAATTTCAGTAATTATTGTATGACCTCCAAAATATGGTAATCTATTTATATTATAGTTTTTAATTTCTGATTTTATATTATAGGGTACAAACATTCGACAAAGAACAGATGTTGCTTTAAACAATCTCACCTACATAAGTATAGCGAAAAACATAGATAGTACTTCTTTTATCTCCTGTGTTCCAAATGATGGCGTTTTACATGCTTATGAAAAGACCGAACTTGCATTTTGTTTTAGCCCAAAGTAAGTAGAAATTAATTCCATTTTAATGCTAATTATTAATGGAAAGTATACTATATATGTTGTTGTTGTTGTTAAGTGCCGTCGAGTCATTTCCGACCCATAGCGACCCTGAACAGGGTTTCTGAGGCTGTAAATCTTTATGGGAGCAGAAAGCTTCATCTTTCTCCTGTGGAGCAGCTGGTAGTTTCGAACTGCTGACCGTGAGGTTCGCAGCCTGATTCGTAACCACTACGCTACCAGAGCTCGTTATAATATATATATTCATCAAACTGTTTCAATACTTTTTAGTAAGACTTGTTGGGCATAAATGCAGGTTTTTGTTATGGATCTCAATATTTCTAAAATGGTTAATATTACAATATTTCTAAATATGGTATAAATATTTTACATTATGAAACCTCTCCAGATTTCATAGAAATCAGGCAGTGAAAGTGGAAGTTTTGGATTGTGGCCCAAAACCCTTTTGTGCAGCCAAGGCCTGGTTCTCTCAAGGATGGTCAGGAGATGATCAATGGAATGCTGTATGTTCTAGATACCTCCCAAGAGGTATAGGGTTCCTGCCAGGGCAAAGCGCTTACTGACTTGTGTGGCTGATGCTGGGGTCAACCACACATGCTTGCTGAAACTCATGAACTTTTAGGATGTATGCAAACATATTGTTGGCAACTCCATGTATTTGCTTGGGTTACATAATTTGCAAATATATTTGGAAATGTTATTTTTAATATATAATAGAACTTGCAGCTACATCGTGGTAGGTTGTTGTGCTTGTCAACAACTGATCCAATTGTACATCTGTTTACCCTGGTTGTGAGAAGATGATCTTAATTTACTTCTGTCTGTGGCAACAGGGTCACTTGGAGATATCAGTTGCTTGTTGATGACTCAGTTGTATCTCAGTTTAAGGAGAGTAGGACATCAAGCAATTGTTCTCCTTAAACAATTTACAATTGTGTTATTAATGATACTCTCATACAAGCCAGATGCCAAGATGCAATATACTTTTTTACATTTTTGATAATAGTGGGTAGATGTCAGTGAACCTGTAAGATTCTGTTTAGTACATATGTCTTTGAACTTTCCAATATTGTTTTTCATGACAGTACATTGATTTCATTAGAAAGTCTAACGTAGACATTCAAAGGTTGAGTATGATTTAAAGACTCAGTTAAATATTTTTAAACATGGTATTTTTAATCATGTCTAATATTGCACAGCAGGCTTTTGTGACGTTATTAAAGTATCCACTGAAAATAAAGCCTGATCTTTAGGTAAGACAGGTAAAGTTAACCAATGAGCAGAACTTTGGGTCTTTGGTCCTACTTCTATTCTTTCCGTCCACCCTTTTCTGTTCTCTAAACAGATTGGTCTTTCAGAAGATAACGCTAATATGTACTTAGTCCACTGGGAAGGCAAGATCTATAATAGAAGATTGTTTTGTTTTTGTTTTTGTATCATACTGGGAGACTATTTTGTAGATTTGAATAGAGTCCTTACACAGCACGAGACTATGCCTGAAAACAAAATCCTTCACAAAGAAAGTGGCATCTGAGTTGTACCTTGAAGAATTAGTATATAGTAAATTAAATTACTCTTGCAAATAGTTCCTTGCACTGATTTTTCTGAGTTTTCCTTTCTATGGGCAAGTTTCTCCGTTTGTGCAGTAATTTTGAAAAATGAGTAAAAGTTATATTTTATTTACTAACTTTCATTTGCTTACATAGTTGTAAAGATTGGGTTGCTATTATCACCTGACAGATGATAAAATGTATCACCTTTGTTGTAAAAATATCTGACTGTGAATTTTTACAGACTCATTAAGAATAGCAAAAATGATGCTGACCCCTCACACCGGCAAGACTATGCTGTCTTTTTGAGATTTGAGTCTGTAGGAAGTAGAAGTGGAGATTTGAACGGTGATGACAATGAAATGCACACAAGTAAGTGGGAAATGAAAATAATAAACATATAGTAGTTTAAATTGTTGAAAATCTGAGCATTAATATTATAGAGACAATTGAACAACCATGTATAATTACAGAACAGAATGAAATGCAAACATATTCAAGAGAACTTAAAATGTCACTTGTGACATGTTAAGAAAGACATCAACCTCAGAATAATTTACACAATATTTTTGCTAGCTAAAATATAGACTTCCTGGTTTTCTTAAACCTGTTCATCCTGAAGTTTTTTTAGTCTCAAGAAATGGCAATTCCATCCTTTTAGTTGCTCATTCCACAAACTTTAGGGTCATCTTTTATCCCTCACTTGCATTTATATCATAAATTCAGTCTCTTCAGCATACTTTGTTAACTCTACCTTTAGGCCTATATCGAATCTGACCATTTCTCCTCATCTATCCTTCTATCACCCCAGTCCAAATTTCCATATTAATATTCCTGGATTCTTACAGTGGCTTCCACACTATTTTATCTGCCTCTGCCCTTGTCCCACTGCAGTCTAATCTCAACTCAGCAGCCACAGTGATTTTTTTAAGCTTAAATTTGATGATCTCAAAAGCTTCCAATGGTGGCCTTCCTCACCTTTTCAATGGCTTCAAGCTCCTACATGACCTGACTTCTGAACTCATGCTACTGCTTTCCTCTAGGCATTGCATATTCCCTGGTATTTCTTGATCAAGTTAAGCACTTGGTGTTCTCTATGACTGGAATACTTTCCCCTTGGATTTTCATGTGACTTTCTTCCAGACTCTATATCTATGCTCATCTATCTTCCTATCAGAGAGGGTTTCCTACATAAAATAAAGCCCCATGACCTTGTGTTCAATCTGTCTTCCCCTACTTTCACTAATTCTCTCTAAAATACAATCTATGAGGGTAAGTAAAAAAGTGTTGCTACAAAATCATATAAATCTTTATTTAAAAAAAATCAAAATGTGAAACTATTGTTTCTCAACATAACTTCCATTTAAACCTATAGATTTCTAAATGTGATAGTTCCATCTCTCTACTTGTTGTGGCACTGTGGGTTAATGTGCCAGACTGCAAAGTCACTTTGAGCTGTAAGGTTGGTGGTTCAAACTCACCAGTCGCTCCGTGGAAACCCTATACAGGGTCACTATTGGTCAGAACCTACGCAGTGGCACTTAACAACAACGACAACCTTTCCCTGGAGCCTTGGCATGGTACTGTGGGTTAATGCATCGACTGCAAAGTCAGCTTGAACCACAAGGTCAGTGGTTCAAGCTCATCAGCTGCTCTTTGGAAACCCTATACAGAGTTGCAGTGGATCAGAACCAACTCAACAGCACTTAACAACAACAATCTTTTCCCTAAAGAATTCTGCACTCTCCGATGTATACCATGTCAAAATGACAGTTTGGGCATCCTATTGTTGTTGTTAAGTGCTATTGAGTTGGTTTTGACCCGCAGCAACCCTGTATAGGGTTTCTGAGGAGCAGCTGATGAGCTTCAACCACCGACTTTGCTGTTCAAACCGACTTTGCAGTCCAGTGCAGTAACCCACAGCACCACACCAGGACTCCTTGAGCATCCTAGAAGGACATACATTATGTCCCTTTTAAATGTTTGTTGAGTTTTAGAAACAAAAAGAGGTCTTGAAGGGTCAAGAACAGAGCTGTAGGGTGGATGGGGTAAGGTTTCTGAGTGAAATTCGCAGAACAGTCCCTTGCTACCCTCAAAAAATGGGCAGGTGCATTGTCATGATGGAAAAAACAATTTTCAGTGCAAATGTCCTTGTTTTTCTCACCATTGCAGATTTTCATTTTCTTAAAACTTCTTCCTAATAAGCCCCCGTAATCGTAGTGTCCTTAGAGAAAATCTATCAAGATTCTCCCCTTGGAATCCCCAGAAACTGGCTCCATAACCTTCTGAACTGACCTCTCTACCTTGAATTTAACAGGCTCTATATAGATCCCCTTGGAAACCACTTTTATTTTTAAGGTACCCCAAGAAGATAAATAAGTGTATTTCTGAAAGAACTTTTCTGCAGCCATCTACTGACTGCAGAGATATGTATTAATTTGTTTTGTTGGGGAATAAACCCTAACCCTAGCTTGTATGAACTGAAACCCTAGTAACGATACTTTTTAACTTAACTTTGTATTATTTATTTGTTTACTATTGATGTCACCTCACTAAAAAGTTGTAAAGTCCAAGAAAGCAAGGATATCATTTTATTCACTGTTGTAAACCCAAGGCCTAGAAAAGTATGTGGCACCAAGTGAAGACACTCATTAGTATTTGATGAGTGAAAGTTTGAATAATAAACTTTCAGATGATGTTATTTAGTCTGAGAGAATGTATTCTGGATTCTCTCTCTCTCCATCTATCTATATATACCTAAATAGTTGTTAAGTGTTGTGGAGATGGTTCTGACTCATAGTGAGCCTGTATAAGGTTTTCAAAGAGTACCTGGTAGGGTTTGAACTGTTGACCTTGTAGCTTACAGTCCGGTGCTGATCCTATAGCATTCTGTGTGTGTGTGTGTGTGTGTGTGTGTGTGTATATATATATATATATATATAATGTTCAACAATTATTCTTGTTTTTACAGATAATCAATATCAGAAAGGTTTGGAAGTAGCATTGACAGGCTCAGGACTTCCTGTCTCATTACATATTGAACCAGAAAAAGTTCTTAATTTTTCACCTTGTGTCATGGGTGAATGTTCAGAGAAGCTATGCATCATACAAAATCAATGCACATTACTCCCTGTGGTATATCAATTCCAAAGAACGGCACATTTTAAATTTTTTCCTGAAAGGGGCAAGATTGATGAAGGATGTACGCAGGTAAGATAATTATTCTTCCCTTTCCTACTGCTTCAAATATTTTCAGGTCTGCTAAATTACAATTCAGAAGATAAAAACTGCATTTATTCTACCAATGTTTCTCTTTTGTGGTCTAGTTATCCATGTCTTGACCCTCGTACAGAATCCATAATTATTTGCTAACTTCCCACCATGTACCAGGAAAATTATTTAATGATAATATTTAATAAGCATGTAAATGCAAAACATGGATGGGCTTCAGGAATGTAAAATATGTTAAAAGAGAGCTGTAAACAAAATGATGTCAAAAAGAGGAAAGAGTGTGTACTACCATCCGGGTAGAATGCTCTTCATGGAAGAGTAACATGTGCGTTAGGCCTTAGAGACTAAGTAGAATTTTGAAATTTGAAACTGATTATATCTAACTGACCTAGGATTTGTACTGCTTGTGGAAATCAGACAACTGGATTATTAAAAGATCTCCTAAGATGTAGTTGTTGTAATTGTTAAGTACCGTCTAGTCAGTTCTGATTCATAATGATCCTGTTTAGAATTTCCAAGGAGAGGCTGGTGGGTTTGAACTGCCAACCTTGTGGTTAGCAGTTCAGTGCTTAATCTACAGTGCCACACCAGGACTACAAGATGTAATAGAAACTTGTTATTACTTTTGACTGATCATCATTTAAATCGCATTTTTATGCTTGTATGGTCTCATTTTGTGAGTTTTGGAGTAAGACAGCTATTCACAGCCTACTGTGGAAACAAAAAAGGCCTGAGTCTCACCCTTTCTGGATTCTTTCTGGGCACATAATTCAAGATTGTTCTGTTACATATTCCCATGAAGAAATTTGAATCTGAAGTTAAGAAAGCAGAGAAGCAGATGGTGGTGGTCAGTGATGGTGGTGCCGACAGTGGACCTGTAATGTTATGACCTAGGTTTCCTTAGTTTTCACTTATTTTCCAAGTCTTACTCTATAGTTTCCATAACTCTTTGAGTCTTCCACAATCCTTCTAGTAAACAGTAGGTTTCCACTGTTTGCAACTTTTAACTCTTAGTGTCAGCTAAAACTTCTTAACAAAAATTGGTTAGCCTAAATATAAATAATGCTGCAATTTTCAGGTCCTGAACACTTATTCTTTCTTTTTTTTTTCTTTCTGTCTTTCTTCCTTTCTACCTACTTACCTACTCTAAAACAACATTTTGTATTGGATATAAGGGTTCTGACATAAGGTATGAAATATGAAATATTGAAGAGTACTGTTACAGATAGAGACAACAGCATTATCAAAAATAAGAATGAAGAGAAATTGTGGGATGTTCAAGGATTAGTCAAAGTCTGGTTTGTCTGCTGAACATGCAGGGATGTAGTTGGACATAGAGTCAGGAGGCTCTAGGGTCATCAGCTTGTGAAGCTTTAAAGTAAAGAGTTTGGACTGTGTTTAGTAATCCTTGGGAATCTACTAGAGTTTTATGAGTGACATTTTAGGTAATTGTTGTAAGATTGATTGAATGAGAAAATATTTATAGCAGAAAGAACTTCTAAGAAGCTCCCAGGCTACCATAATAACACATAGGAAAGATGTGAAAATAAATAATTAAATAAAAGCCTAGAATAAAGTGGCAGCAGTACAAATTAAAAGGAAGGATAAAATTATTCATAAAATAAAAGTTATAGGGAGAAAAAAATGAAAAAAGCATTAATGAGAGCTCTTCGATAGTGAATTTTCTCTCTTAGGCTATAGTGATTTCTCATCCTGAAAGGGCCGGAGATGGAAAAAACCATTGACAGAAATGCCATGTTGTTGTTGTTAAGTACTGTTGAGTCAGTTCCGACCCATAGGGTTTCTGAGGAGTGGCTAGTGAGCTTGAACCGCCGACCTTGTGGTTCAACTCAACTTTGCAGTCCCATGCATTAATCCATAGCCCCACACCAGGACTCCAGAAATGCCATAGATGGACTGAAACATTTCACTGAGAGTTGCTTTTGGTTGGGTTTCCCAGATTCAAACCCTGAGATGATGATTCATGTGTAAGTTATATAGTAATGAAATGCTCCCAGGGGATATTGGTAAGCAAGTATGATAAATGGGGAAGGGAAGAGAAAGAAACCAAAAATAGTATGTATTTTCAGACAGAAAAACATCAAAACCAAACACAGTATTGTTGAGTTGATTCTGACTCATAGCAACCCTAATGTACAACTGCCCCCATAGGGTTTAGGATTTCCAAGGCTGTAAATCTTTATGTAAGCAAAGGGCCACATATCCACAGAGGGCTATAGTTCAGCTGGATCTTGCAAGAGAACTCAGACCTATTGAGTTACAGCTCAGGGATATTCAGATCTAAGGCGAGAGCTGGCCCTTTGTTGGTCATTCATATGGAATACGAATATGAATATGAGAGTCTAAGATCCCTAGATAACACAAATCATTTGTGCTGGAGTCTTGGTAGGATAAGCACAGGACTGACTGCAAGATCAGCTTGAATTACAAGGTCGGCAGTTCAAACTCACCAATAACTCCTCGGAAAACTTGTATTTGGTTGCTGAGTCGGAACTGATTGGACGGCACTTAATGATAACAACTAACTTAAAGAATCAGCACTGGACTTCGAACCACAAGGTTGGAAGTTCAAACCTACCAGCTGCTCCTCGGAAACTCTATATAGAGGGTCACTATGAGTCTAAACTGACTCGCTGGCACTTAATAACATCAACTAACCTAGAGGTTGGCCGTCGCAACACACCTAGTGACAATGAAGGGCTGAAATTTGACTTCTATAAAGATTACAGCCAAGAAAATCCAACGAAGCTCAATTCTACTCTGTAACACATGGCATTGCCGTAAGTCATAATCAGCTTCATGAGAGTGGGTTTGTTTTGGGGGTATTGTGTGGAGGTGGGGTGGGGTGGGGGAGTGGGTGATTTATCTAAGAATCATTGGTTAATGACACTGGAAAGTAGGAGATAAAAACTCCTAGGCACATCTGAGTTACTTGATGTTGTTAAATGCCATTGAGTTGATTGTAATTCATAGCAACCTTGTATAGGGTTTCTAAGGAGCATCTAGTGGGTTTGAACTGTCAGCTTTGTGGTTTGCAGTCCAGTGCTGATCCTACAGTGTCACACATATGGCGATAAAAATGGATTCAGTAGCCCCCAGTGTTAGGTGTTAAAAGTCAAAACAAATAGGAAGAAAGGGACTAAAAGACCTAAAAAAGATCTGAGGATATCTGAGCTGAGCACCAAAGTTAGCTGCTACTGTAGTAATTAGTTGTAATCTCAATGAGTATTCTGTGCAAAAAGTACAATGTTTCAATAAGCTTGAGTATGTAATTAAAGGAAACTATTTTTAATCACAGGACTTCTTAGTTTTTAATATGCTAACATACATTGTACAGGGTTGCTATGGGTCAGAACTGACTTGACGGCACTTAACAAACAACAACAACAAACATACATTGTAAATCTCCCACTGAAGGGTGTGAAGAATTTCTAATTTTTTTTCACTCTTTCTCCACTTAAATTGTTGGGAGGATTCTTTGGATTTAGAGTTAGAAAACCAAAAGGGAAGAACACAGTCAGCATTTCTCAAACTGGGGGAACTGAAGAAAAAATTCAAGCCTCGACTTTCGTTATTGAAAGATTCTCTGGGCAAATTGTTGAATGATGCAGAATGCATCAAGAAAAGATGGAAGGACTACACAGAGTCATTGTACCAAAAGGAAATGGTTAATGTTCAACCATTTCAAGAGATTCCATATGAACAAGAGCCAATGATACTCAAGGAGGAAGTCCAAAGTGCATTGAAAGAAGTGGCAAAGAACAGGGCACCAGGAATTGATGGAATAAAAATTGAAATCTTTCAAGAAAGTGAGGCGGCACAAGAGGCATTCACTCATCTCTGCCAAGAAATTTGGAATACAACTATCTGGCCGACTGATTGGAAGAGATCAATATTTATGCCCGTTCCAAAGAGAGGTGACCCAACAGAATGCGGAAATCATCGGACAATCTCTTTGATATCTCAAGAGAGTAAAGTTTTGCATATCTCAAGCGAGTAAAGTAATACAGAAACGGCTGCAATCATACATTGACAGAGAACTTCCAGAGGTTCAAGCTGGATTCAGAAGAGGCCGTGGAAAGAGTGATATCATTGCTGATGTCCGATGGATCTTGACTGAAAGCAGAGAATACCAGAAAGATGTTTACCTGTGCTTTATTGACTATGCAAAGGCTTTCGATTGTGTGGATCATGACAAGCTATGGACAACATTGAGAAGTATGAGTATTCCAGAACACTTAATTGTACTTCTAAGAAATCTGTACCTAGACCAAGAAGCAGTTGTTCGAAGAGAATATGGGAACACTGAATGTTTTAAAATTGGGAAAGGTGTGAGACAGGGTTGTATTCTTTCTCCATACTTATTTAACCTGTATGCTGAGCAAATAATACGAGAAGCTGGGTTCTATGAAGAAAAATGTGGCGTCAGGATTGGAAGAAGAATCATTAACAACCTGCGATATGCAGATGATACAACCTTGCTTGCTGAAAGTGAAGAGGACTTGAAACATTTACTGATGAAGATCAAAGAGCACAGCCTTCGATATGCATTACATCTAAATGTCAAGAAAACAAAAATCCTCACCACTGGACCAATAAACAACATTCTTATCAATGGAGAAAAGATTGAAGTTGTCAAGGACTTCATTCTTCTTGGATCAAACACTCATAGAAGCAGCAGTCAAGAGATCAGATGATGTAATTGCATTGGGCAAATCTGTTGCACAGGAACTTTTTAAAGTATTGAGGAGCAGAGATGTCAGCTTGAGGACTAAGGTGCGCCTGACCCAGGCCATGGTGTTTTCAATAACCTCATATGGATGCGAAAGCTGGACAGTGAATAAGGAAGATCGTAGAAGAATTGATGCCTTTGAGTTGTGGTGTTGGAGGAGAATACTGAGGGTACCATGGACTGCCAAAAGAACCAAAGATCTGTTTTGGAAGAAGTGCAGCCAGAGTGCTCCTTGGAGGCCAGGATGGCTAAGCTTCGTCTCTCATACTTTGGACATATTGTCTGGAGGAAACAGTCGCTAGGGAAGGATGTCATGCTGGGTAAGGTGAAGGGTCAGAGAAAAAGAGGAAGACCCCTAACAAGATGGATCAGCCAGGTGGCATCACTGATGGACTCAAGTGTGGCAGCGGTAGTAAGGTTGGCCCAGGTTCGGACATTGTTTCATTCTGGTGTGCATGGGGTCGCTATGAGTCGGTTCTGACTCGATGGCACCTGATAACAACAACAATTCTTTGGCACAATCATTAATTCTCACCAGTATGTTATTTTGGAGAGTAAAGAACAAGTCTTACACACTTTGTGTGCTCCATGTTGTTGTTGTTGTTAAGTGCCGTCAAGTCGGTTCCGACCCATAGCGACCCTGTACAGGGTTTCCGAGGGTGTAAATCTTTTTGGGAGTAGAAAGCCTCATCTTTCTCCCACGGAGCAGCTGGTAGTTTCGAACCACTGACCTTAAGGTTCGCAGCCTGATTCATAACCACTACGCTACCAGAGCTCCTTAGAATGCAGTAAAGGGGCTTGAATATTGAGATGAAGGTCTTGGATACAGCATCCTATAGTATACTTAATTTTTGCAACCTAGTTGGATGAGAGAAAGAGAGGAACCAAGAATGACTTGAATATTTTGAACTTCAGTTATGATGCAAATGTTGTGTACATTGAACAGAATGGGAAAGTCAGAAAGAGGAAGTTTAGGAAAAGGGAGGGAGAAGGACATTCAAACAAAAATTTATTTAAGAGAATATGTAGAGTATAAGATATGATTAAATTGCTATAGTAATCCCACCCACCTAAGAGCAATCCCAAAAATCTTAGTTGCTTAAAACAAGAAACATTTTTCTTTCTTATGAGTAAACAAATTTCTATGACTATGCTGGACTTGTCTGAAATCATTAAATTTTATTTCTAGGTTGCATGCCCACCCAATCTCTTCTCATGGTGAATCACTGGAGGACAAAGGTCTTATACAAACCACAGGAACACATTTAATCTCTTTTCATATTATATCTGCTGACATTTCTTTCATGTGCCAGAGAAAATTGTATAGCTAATCCCAGCATCAATTGGGCAGAGAAATACACTTCACTTAGTCTAGTGGAGATACTATAAATTCCAATGATAAAGGACAGGGTTATATATGGGTCTATTTATGTCACAGGAAGGTATTAAAGAATTGGGAACTGTAATCCAGTCAACCCCAGCTTCTAAATGGTAATGATTTTTTGCGGAAGTAAAAGTTAGAAGTAAAACTTTCTTCATGGCATACTAATGTGTCACTGTTTGTATCATGTGTTGGATAGTGTGTGTCACTGACCCCATAACAAACAAATTATATCGGATTTTTTAGTTACTAGTTTCTGCCTTCCTCCTGTTAATGGTTTCTAGTCAGATACCATTGGATGACAGCTGTACTTGAATAAATTGTGTTTGTTATTGCAGTGAAGGAGAATACATACCATGGGGAATGGTGAGGCATCTCAGTATGAGGGTAGTAAACTGATACAGTTGCTGCCAATTCCAACTCAGTGGTGATAACATGTTTTACAGAGGAGACCTGAGCTCCATAGATTGTCTTGGTTGTAATCTTCATTTTAATCTTTGTAGGAGATCACCAAGCCTTATAACTCTGCATAGTTTACCTTCTGGGCACACAGCCCAGTGTCAGCCAGAGTGCTGGATTACAGCTTTCTGAGGTTTTTCTTGGACATGTACACTGTCCTGCACATGTGTGCAGTCATCTAGATACCCAAGAATGTGCCAGGTTATTTTTTAAGCATTCTATGAATATCTTGTTCCCCAGGTGTTTTTTTTTAAAACAAAACAAAACAAAACAACAAACTGGTAATTCCTGCCTCAGGTTGATGTGAGATTCAGCAATTATTATACTTTTTGTTGTTGTTTGAAAATAAAACTCTGGAAAAATGGTTGTTCACACAGTAAACTCTGGATCAAGTCAGATAAAAAGAAGACTTTAAAATAAGTTTTTCATCTAGCGGCCATATATCACAAAGGAGAACAAATGGCAGGTATCTGAAAAAAGTTAATTTTGACAGTTTTTGCCTGTGTTTCCTTTTATGGAGAAGTGGATTTCTGGAATTCCTTACTCCACCTTTCTAGAAACGGTTTAGTATCATTGTTATTAGTTGTTCTTAAATAGCTTTCAAATCCTGAATATTTTAAAAGTTAGTATGCACTGGATGTGCTGTTTCCAAAACACTTTCTTGTTTCCATGATAATGTAACTTTCCTTGAAAGTTTAAAAACAATTAATTGGTAACTTTTTCTTTTCTTCTTCCTTTAGAGTATAACATGTTCATTTACTCCACATCAAGTTGGAAGCTTTCAAGTGAAGCAAACCATAGAGATTATTGGCCTAGTGGCAGACAAAAATTTCCAAACTTTGTCAATGAAACCTTTTCATTATATACAATTAGATTTCCATAGCGTCTGCAAGCCTTGCATCAAGAGAGTTGTGATGAAAATTAATCCTGGTATGTTATTGTGGTCGCTCACTTGTTTTGTTAGCATAGGATTATCTTAATATATTAATTCACATAATATTAATATATTAAATGCAGTCAGTTCTAGTGTTTTCACCTTTTAACTTTCATTAAAATCATCTAGAAAACTTGTTAAAATACAGATTGCTGCTCTATGTCTCAACATCGGCGACCCTTGGTAATACTGTGGGTTAGGTGTGAAGCTGCTAACCATAAGGTTGCCGATTGAAATGCACCAGCCATTCTGCAGGAGAAAGATGAGACTATCTACTCCCATAAAAATTTGCAAGTGCTGTAGGATCAGCACTGGACTGGTAACTACAAGGTTGTGGTTCAAACCCACCAGTCTCTCCTTGGAAGCCTTTGACCTGGTGGGTCGACTGGTGACTAGGCAGTAGTGGGGTCCAATACTATATATTTCTAACAAGTTTCAAGAAGAAGCTGATGTTCTAAATATCACATTTTGAATAGCATTAGTCTGTTGCTGTGTGCCAGTGAGGTTTAGGGCTGGCTGTTAGTGAACCAATACGGCAGATTAGAACAGTCCCATAGAGTTTTCTATGCTGTAATATTTATGGTGTGGCACTGTAAGATAAGCACTGAACGGCTAACTGCTAAGTTAATCATTCAAACCCACCAGCCGCTCCATGAAAACCCTATATAGGGTTGCTATGAGTCAGAACTAACTCAATGGCACTTTACAACAACAATACTTATGAGTCCTGGCTGGCACTGTATGATATGCACTGGACTGCTAACCATAAAGTCTGTGATTCAAACCCACCAACAATTCCTTAGAAACCCTGTATAGGGTTGCTATTAGTCTGAACCTATTTAATGGTACTTAAATACAACAATACCAGGTCTTATTTCCAGTGGAGCCTCTAGTGGGTTTGAACCACCAACTTTTTGTTTAGTTACTGAACTCTTAACCATTGCACTACCAGGGTTGCTCTGCATTGGTTTACTCAACTATAAAAAGAAAGAAATGTTGTAATTCATTTTTGTTTTATTCTATTTTTTGTTCTAATCTATAATATAAATTGTTTTTTTACAATGTACCACTTTTTTAAATTGTAAAACTATCAATAGCACAACCTTTACCAGTTCAATGTGTCTCATGGGTACAAATCAGTGACATCAATTACATTCATCATGTGTGCTGTTGTCACTAGTATTTGTTGCCATGTTTTTCATCCCTATAAACATAAACTCAGTGTTTCCTATTTTTTTGTGCTGTTTATGTCACCTCATCCTCAGTTACCTGTTACACACTGAACCGTATGATGCTACTGAAATTCATCTCTTTTTAACCTACAAATATCTGTTTCCCATAGCCAATTTAATTCTCTAAATCGCTATGTGATTTTTGTATACATGCACTATATAGCTAAATCATAAGAACTTCTATTTACAAAGAGCTATATATTAAATGAATTATTTGTATTTTATCAATGTATGTGCTTGTCTGGGGGCTTAACATTTATAGAAACAATATCTAACATATTAATGCATGAATATTGGTTGGATACTAAAAATTAGAAAGTTGTATATAAACTTAATATTCTGTTCTATAAAAGGTCTTTCTCCACGAGTCACTAATCCAACAGGACAGTTTGTGGCTGAGGATAAGGCAAAATGCAAAGTACCTGTAGCAATGCTTCAGTCAGCTAAGACCCAAATTCACAACCATAAAGCACGAAAAGAGACAATGATAGATGCACTGATAGCCTTTCCCAATGATAGAGCTGGAAGTATCAGGCCTGGAGAACAGTTCACAAATTTCAGGTAACATAAAATTGTTAAGTGTCATTGAGTCAGTTCCAACTCATAGCAACCCTATATACAGTTTCCGAGGAGCAGTTGGTGGGTTTAAACTGCTGACCTTGTGGTTTGCCATCCAGTGCTGATCCTACAGTGCCACACCAAGAATCATCAATAGTTAAAAATCCAAAATTTTAAAAGACTTGATGACCAACATGATATGCAGAAATCTAATCAGATCTACTTTGGCCAACTAATGATAGTAATATTAGTAATAATAAATTGTCCAGTTTTTAAATAGAGATGGTTGTTGGAGGTCTGATATTTGCCTTATCTAACGTTTCATCACTTATATTGAATACTTGCCAAGAAGTGAATGTTTTTCCAGGTTGAAAAAACAAAAATGTTGTCAATAAGTATAAACAAATGATGGAAATAAACACTTTGAAGAATGTAGTAAATCCTCATTGTAGTCATGTTCATCAAGTATGGATTTGTCTTTCTAAAAATACACACACACACACGCGCGCACATTTAAAATTGTGTAAAGCTAATAATTGTTATTATCATTATTTTATCATCATCTTTTTTATACCCCTTGTGAAGACACATTTCCAGTAACCTTTCCCAAATTGAACTAACCAGCCTTCTCTCGAATAAAGAACCATAAATGGTGTTAAACTTGTATTTAAATTTACCCAAGTCTCAAATAAATGACTATGTTGCCAGTGATTAGGGATAAGTGACCCAAGTATCCTGACTCTTTCATCTGGGTCTTAATGAAAAGAATGGTTCACACATATTAGAAATAGAAATTAGTTTCCTTTCTGCCTGCTTATATGCTACTAGTTGTACCTGTGTACCTGTAGAGTTGATTCCAACTCATAGTGACTCAATGAAACAGTGCGTTGTTGTTAAGTGCCGTTGAGTTGGTTCCGACTCATAGTGACCTTGTATAGGTTTCCAAGGAGTGACTGGTGAGTTTGAACTGCTGACCTTGTGGTTCAAACTGACCTTGCAGTCTAGTGTGTTATCCCACAGTGCCACACCTGGACTCCTAAACAGTAATCTTTATTGGAGCAGATTACCAGGTTATTTCTACCCTGGAGTGGCTCATGGGTTCAAATGCCTGACCTTTTAGTTAGAATCCCAACACATATGCTCCTAGTGCTGTTGTTGTTAAGTTCAGTTGAGTCATTCCAACTGATAGTGACCCTATATAGGGTTTCCTAGGAGCAGCCTGGTGGATTTGAATTGCTGACTTTGTGGTGAACAGTCCAGTGCTTATCCTATGCCAGGATTCCTATGCTCCTAGTAGATTATCTAAATTTGGTAATGGTCCTAGGCTTTTTCCACTTGACTTTTTCAGTTTACTCAGTCATTTTCCTATAATACCATTTGATATTTAGACTATAATTATTTTATAATCCACAATGGAAAAATTCTGTTATTTATTTTTTGTCAGTCTTATTATTTTATTATATCATTCCATCCACAGAAGAATCACTCTTATTTTCTCTTTGTGTCTCTTCTAAGTAACAAAAACAAAAAAGCAAAAATGTAAAATTTACCCAGACTACAGTTTAAATGTTTATATTGAATAAGAGTGAAAAACCCTTTCCTTACTCGGACTCCTTGCACTCCATCCTACCCTGCAGAGATAACTACTGTAAACATTTTTTTAATCGATCTTTTCAACTTGTTCCTGTGCTTATACAAATATATCTATGTGGAGACAATATATTAATTTAATATTAGCATTGTGATTCGACTTAAAGTTATATTAGTTACATGGCCTAAAAAATGCTAGATTTTTTTAAAAAAAAGGATGAGCATTTCACATTTATCTCAATGAACTCTTTTTTTTTCTTTTTTACAAAACAAAAATATATATTAATTTAAATATCCAAAGGGCACATTTTGCAAGCTAGCTTTCTACCCAAAGGCACCCAGTCTTACTCAGTCCATGGGCCTAGAGTCCATAACTGCTCTATCTTTCCATGTTACCGCCTCTGTCACCATCTCTGCGGTCACCACTTTTCTAGGCAGGGATCCCACACTCCACTCATGCTCTTCCTTAATGATGGTCCTGGGATCGTCTGTTCCTGAAATGAAAGATACATACACCCTACTTTTAGTTACACATCTTCTGTAATTATAGTTTTGACAATCACAATTAATCATACTAACAATTATTCAAAATTAAATCATAGAATCCTATCAGCATCATAACCCAAATCCTTTCACCAGACCTATCTGGAAAAGAGGAAAACTATCCAGTGGGGATTCTATTATATTCCCACCTCATTCTAAAACTAAGCACACCCATGAAAGTTTGTAAGCCAGCCACTTCATGCCTTTATTTTAATAGCCAATGTCTAAATTGCCTGTCCCTATCAACCAGTCATTCCAGTGTTACTATGAGTCGGAACCAGCTCTATGGTACACCACTACCACTACCACCACCATCAACCCAGTACACTGAGGAGACAAGCACATTCCTTGATATGAAGAATCTTCCATTCTGGTTGGAATTTTGAGCAACTGCATCCATAAACAAAATCCAATTCATCAAATTGTAGCAATTGGCACTTGCTCACAGTATCAAACACCTTTATTTTCATCTCCTTAGGTCTGGTCAGTTCAACGTTAGCCATTCTAGTTAGGTCAGCTGCAAGTTTGGGAACATCTCCCTACACTTCACACCAGCTGGCCACCCCATGGGTTAGGTCAGTGCCAGTGGGCTTAGAAGGTCACACAATGACCTCTTCTCTTAGCTCAAGGTCAATGGGTGCCCATAGAACATGTCCAAACTCAGCAGCCCATGTCTTCATTGCTGCATTTCCTCTGATTCCACTTACATGTAGACCCAGGTGGTCACCAGCAAGCATACTGCTCACAGGTTCCCTTTAACTTTCAGTCCTAGAATGGAATTTTCTCTTACTGGTCAACTTTCTTTGCTTTGCTGCCTTAGAAACTCAAAATGCCAAACAATCCATTTGGTTTTTTGTTTTTCTCTGTTTAAGCATCCTATTCTCCCAGCAGTTCTGGGTTGGTTTGCATGTCTTTTCAAATACAAATATCCCAAGACTGAAGGTTCTGGATAGGGCTCAGGATTCCACCTAAAGCCTCATATTCAACAAAGGCTTAAAGCAAAAAGCCTGTTTTTTTTGTGTGTGTTTTTTTCTGGGCAAATTCTAACTCCCCTATTAGCACATTCAATCAAGTATAGGCTGAAGATAGGCTTACAAGCTCTCTGTAATCATAATTCCTTATATTCCTATCATACATGTATGTCTATTTTACAGTAATAGGCAGGAGAAACCAATATCCATAAGGCAGTCAAACATATAAACTTTTTTTTTTTTTAATATTTTTATTGTGAATTGAGTGAAAGTTTACAGGGCAGATCATCAGTTTTACATTCAACAAATCATACACCTTGTTCTATTAAAATGACTATAATCCCCTCCATGTACCATCAGTTAGCAGTATTTTTCTCTATTCATTTTCTCCCTCTCTCTCTCTTTTTAACACTGAGACATACATAATAATTTAAACAACCAAAGGGCACATTCTGCAAGTTTGCCTCCTGGCTGCCAGCTCTCATTCCCTCTCTTCCCATGAGTTTAGAGTCCTCAGCTGCTTCCTCTCTCTATGTCCCCATCTCTGCCTACATCTCTGCTGTCGCTGCTTCTCTGGATAAGGTCTCGCATTCTGTTCATGTTCTTCTTCCTTGATGGTCCTAGGGTCCTCTGTTTCTAGACTGTAAGATTAACTACTCCCTCGTTTTTGTTACAAAACTTCTACCTTTAAAATTGTGACAGTCGCAATTAGTCATGATAACAATTACTCACTATTGAATCATAAGATTCTTATCCCCATCTCTTTTTTTTGTTTTTGTTTTTTAAAGTTTTTATTGTGAATTGAGTGATAGTTTACAGGGAAGAACATCTGCTTTACATTCAACCTATCGTATTTTGTTTCATTGCAATGATTAAAGTCCGTTGCATGAATCGTCATTCAACAGCATTTGCTTCCATTCCTTCTTTTCTTTTTTTTTTTTTTTTTTTTTTTTTTTTTTGATGGGGTGGGAAGTAAACCGAAGCACTCAGAAATATATAACCATTTAAACAACCAAATAGTACACCACACAAGCCTGAACCCCGGCCATCAGCACACAGCCCCTCTACCTCCCTGAGTCCAGAGGCCCTATCCGCTCCATCTCTCCAGGTCTCTACCTCCATCTTTGATGTCACTGCTTATCTGGATAGGGTCCCTCACTCCGCTTTTCTCCCCTGATGGTCCCAGCGACCTTTGCTTCTGTACCGCAAGATCAACCACTCCCCTCCCTTTTGTTACAAAACATCTACCTGTACATTTGCAACACTCACAATCAGTCCTGATAGCAATTATTCACTATTGAAGATGGGGATAACACTACAAGACTCTTATCCCCATCTTCTTCTTGAAAGCTTTAAAGCCAGTCACTTTGTGCCTTTGTAGCCACCCCCTCCCCATTTTGGGTACCCACTGTCTAAGTTGCCCATCCCTGTCAGCCCTGTGTACTGAGGGGGTGGGAATGATCCTCGCTGTAAAGCTTTGTTCCCTCTTTTGAGCTACCACATCCATAAGTATAGGTCAAGTTTATCAAATTGTAGCAGATTACTCTTTTTTTTCCTCGTCTTTCTTCCTCTAGTCAAGTTCTGATCATCCAGCCACTGAAGCTGGTCAAATGGGTACTATCTGCAAGTATGGGTGTTCTGGTGCATCTCCCCTCACTTCATATTAGTTGGACGCTTCACTCTCCACTCAAGTCCTCTGTGACCATGTCCCTGTCCTTGGGCCCAGGAGTCCCCAGGTCTTACCATACTACTGGCCAACTTGGTCTCAATCCAGATTGACAGGAGTTTATTGAACGTGGTCGGATTTAGCTCACAACTTCATCTCAATGAACTCTTGTCCATATAATAAGGACAATGTTTAGTGCAGTGCTTTTTAAGCTAACATGTATTAAATTTCATTAATGATATTTGATAGTATGTTAAATTGTATATAACTGTAATAGCTATTTTATTTTTCATGCATTTTACCTTTTCAATTTTTGCAAATAATGTAAGGTAGGAATTCATCTCTAGTTTATTCTCACTTCCATATGTCCTTTGTTAAAATTGTTGTTGTTGTTAAGTGCCGTCCAGTTGGTTCCGACCCATAGCGAACCTGTATAGGATTTCTGAGGAGCAGCTCGTGAGCTTGAACCATCTACCTTGCAGTTCAAACAACTTTGCAGCCCAGCACATTAACCCACAGCACCACACCAGAACTCCTTGCTTAAAATAGTTTTGGGCATATAGTTAAGTGCAGTCCAGTTTGTTTGACTCATAGCGACTCTGTATAGGGTTTCCAAGGAGAGAATGATGGGTTTGAACTGCCAACCTTGCAGTTATCAGTCCAATGCTTATCCTACACAACACCAGAGCATATGATAGTCACTCAATAAATTTTTGTTGAGTAAATAAATGAAGAAAAATGTTTTATTTGCATTTTTGTCCTTCATATTTTACATTTTTTAAAAATCATCTACTCCAAGTGTGGCGCTGTGGCCTAATGCACTGGACTGCAAAGTCTGTTTGATCCACAAGGTCGGCAGTTCATGGTCACCGGCTGCTCCTTGCAAATCCTATACAGGGTGACTGGTTGGAACCCACCCGATGGCAGTTAACAACAACACTCCAAGTTGCAGAGTTAAAAAACTGACAAAGAATTAGATATATTAATAGCCAGCTTTTTGTCACTTAAGAGATTTCCTACTTCTTTCCACAGCCCTCTGCTTTTCCTGAGCCTTAGTGGATTACACATTGGTCTTCTAACTGCAAAGTCAGCAGTTCAAATTTACCAGATGCTCCTCTGGAGAAAGATGAGGCTTTCTACTCCTATAAAGATTTACCACCTCAGAAACCTTATCTAGGTTCACTATGATACCCAATAGACTTGTTGGCAGTGGTTTTAGAATATCAAAGCATTTGTTTCACTTTTATTGTCTGATCCCTTTAAATACTGTGAGCATTGAGGAATTGTTACAGAAAGAACAAATACTAAATTAATTTTCATTTGACTCTGGGACTAATAGATGTATACATAAGAGTAAATTACTGGGAACAGGAGTGTGAATTATCTAAATTTGCTGAAGATGGAAGTAGACCAAGATCAGAAGACTTGCCAATAGTACTTTTTCATTTTTTATTGAAAGTATATTGTGGATTGAAAGGAAGGGGGTTCATAGATGAAGGAGTTGTGAGATATGGTTTATAGTTACTTTATGGGTTGTTTGCCTTCTCTTTATTGTTGATAGTTATTTCACAAACTCTGTATAGCAAAGGAATTACTTACTCTATATGTTTTTCTAATTTGACCACAATAATATAAAGGCAGTTAATTTTTAGTAAGCATGAATCAAATTCAGATCTAATTCTTTGAAGGTTCATCTTTAATAGATAACTCTCCAAGTTGCTTATTTGTCTAATTCCACATGGATAGACTTAGGATAGGTGTCAGTCTATCTCCATGGACTTAGGAAGAAGGGGTTTTCTCTGCTTTGTCAAGGAGTCTATTGGATAGTGACTCCATGTGTGTAGAATAGAACTGCTTCATGGGGTTCAAGACTGACATCTTTCAGAAGCAGATCACCAGGATTATCTTCTTAGACACCTCTGTGAGTTTGAAAAATCAATCTTACATCGAGTAGTTGTGCAAATGACTTTTTGTGCCACCCATATACTCCTTTTCTCTGGTTAAGTTAAGACAGAATTTAGGTTTCATCCTAGTTATAGGCTCAAAAATGTCATGATAGAATAGGATATAAAAGCAAGGACTAGAGTTTGCCCTGTTAATGATTCCCTTCCCAACACCTGGGATAGCACCTAACTAGAGGGGACTCAGTAAATACTGAATGAACAAAGGCATACATACATACTAACGTGACTTGTTCATATTTCAGAACGATTTTTACAAAGGTTCCTAGGTACAACTATGTGGATCCTGAGTATGCATATAATAAAATTGAAGAATTACGGAAAAAAATCGATGAAAATTACTATGAACAATATCTAAAAGAGATGAGATGTATACGCCTGCGGAAACAAATAGTAAGGTAAAGTTCACTTCTTCAAACAATGAAACACTATGGAACAGGTTATTGTGCCTGTGGATGTTCTTGTTAGGTGCCATCCACTTGGTCAGACTCAGGGCAATTTTATGTATAAAAAAGAAGACATTGTCAGGTCCTGTGCCAGTTTCATGATTTGATATGAACCCATTGTTGAGGCTGTTGTATCTGTCATTTTGGCTGAACATCTGTTTTACTAAATATGTCTTTTTTTTAGTGATTGGTCTTTCCTGATGATGTGTCCAAAGTAAACCAAATGAAATTTCACCATGCTGTGACATATTATTATACAAAATAAGCAAAGCATTAAACTGTTTTGACCACAATTATTTTACTTGTTACTTTTTAATTTAGGAATGTCTTAGGTGGGTTTTCCCAGAACTAGATCTAGAGGCAAGGGTTGTAGTTCCTGTGATTTATGTAGAGTATGCTCTCAAGAGAAATGTGTACAAGAGAAGGGAAGAAGGATAGGGCAGGGAGGGGAACAGAGGAAGAATATGTCTCAAATAAAATTACCCTCAGGCTGGTCCAAAGTTCTCACATAGCTGTTATTCTTGCCTGAGACAAACTGGTCTGTCTGTGTATTCTGTATAAGTCATTCATTTTTGGCTGTGTACCCCTGGATGTGGTAGGGGTCGGCATAACTTCCTGAATCAGGTGCTTGAGAAGGGGGGACTTCCCTGAACACAGAACAAGTTTCTACTGAGAAGTGAACCAACCAGTTTAACTAGATCTGAGTGGGGTATCACCAGCACAAGCTATAGGGAATATTTCGATTTACAGACATATTATCTAAATGATTTAACCTCAGTTTACTATTATTTTGATAGTGAACCAATGTATTCACAAGATGATCCGAATATGGGATTACAACCTGGCTCAGGTCTCAAGTCGCCAGTACTTTTACAGGCAGACATAGAAGAAGATACAACTTCAGCTGAGTTAAACAACAATAAATTGTTGCGTACCAGGAATGTAGCACTCAAAGAAGCTGAATCTCTCAGACAGGCATGTACACTATTTTATATTTGCGCTCTGCTGCTAACCGAAATGGCTGTGGTTCAAACTGACTGTGGGAGAAAGATATGTCAATCTTCTTCTGTAATGATTGCAACCTTAGAAACCCCATAGGACAGTTCTACTCTGTACTTTGGGGTTGCTATCAGTCAGAATCAACTTCAAGGCACTGGGTTTGGGGTTTTGTTTATACCATGAAAATTCTTAAAATGGCCTTTGCTAATATTGAACAATTAATGTTGGGGAAATTTTTACTTTTTCACAGATTTTCGATGGACTTAAATCAACACCATCTACACCCCAAGAAATCCAAGATTGTAAATTAACTTTAACACCAAAGCAAATTCACCAAGTACTTGTTGGTAAGAAAAATCTACAAAAACTTAATATGTCCTTTATTAAAACTTCCTTTTTTTGAGAGAAGTAATTTATATTTCATAAATCTTACAAGATTGAAATATACAAGTGAATGAATTTTAGAGCATTTATAAAATTGTGTAACCATCATTAAAATCATATTTTAGAACACTGTCATCAATTGCATGCCTACATACAGTTGTTCCCTAATCTCAATCACAGCTCCATACAACCAGGAATCCACTTTCTGTATCTATCAATTTGCTTATTGTGGATGTATCATATACATGGAATCACAAAATGCAGTCTCTAGTATATTGCTTCTTTTTCATCTAGCATAATGTTTTTGAAATTCATTACTTTGTTTCTCTTTATACCTGAAATGTTGTTGTTAAGTGCCATTGAGTCGGTTCTGACTCACAGAGACTCGTAAAGGGTTTTGGAGAAGCTACTGGTAAGTTTGAACCATCTACGTTGTGGTTCAAACTGACCTTGCGGTCTTGCATTTATCCTATAGCACCAGGAAACCCCACTTTATTGATATATCAAATTTAGTTTGGTCACGAATTGGGCTGCTAATCTCATGGTCAACAGTTCAAAATTACCAGCTGTTCCACGGGAGAAAGATGAGGCTTTCTGCTCCCGTAAAGATTACAACCTCGGAAACCCTGTGCAGGGTCACTATGAGTCAGAATAGACTCCATGGTACTTAACAACAACAATAACAACAACATTCACCAGGATCCCTGGTGGTACAGTGGTTTAAGCATTGAGCTGCTAACTGAAATGTCAGCAGTTTGAACTAATCAGCTTTTCTAGAGAAAGATGAGGCAGTCTACTTCTACAAAGCTTACAACTTCAGAACCCCATGGGAGCAGTTCTGCTTTGTCCTATAGGGTTGCTAGGAGTGGAAATTGACTTGATGGCAGTGGGTTGGTTGTTTGGGTTATTCATCAGTTGTTAGACATCCAGTTGTGGACTACAGTGCTGCTATGAATATTCATAAAAAAAAGTTTTTGAATGAACTATGTTTTCATTTATTCTTTGTTAGATTCCTAGGTGTAGAATTGTTGGATTGCAATGATAAAATCATGCTTGTTTTAAAAAAAGAAACTGGAAAATTTTTAAAGTAGCTGTGCAAGTTGCAATCCCACCAGTAATCTATGAAGGTTCCAATTTCTCCACATTTTTACCAACACCTGTCTTTATGACTATATCCATGCTAGTGGTTCACGATGAATCTGAACCTACTTGAAGGCAACAGGTGGTGGCAGTTGTGGCTTGTGGGTCTGAAGTAGTTTTGATTTTATGGTTTTGATTAGCATTTCACAAGTGACTAATGACCATGAGTATCTTTTCATGTGCTAATTTGGCAAAGTCTCTCTTTAAATCTTATGCAATATCTTATTTGCAATAACATTGACAAGAATGGGTATTTCAGCACACTTAATTGTGTTCATGAGGAGCCTGTACATAGACAGCTGAGTGGTTTAAAATCAGGAAAAGTGTGCGCAGGCTGGGCTGTATTCTTTCACCATACTTGTTCAGTCTGTATCCTGAGCAAATAATCTAAGAAGTTGGATTATATGAAGAAAAATGTGGCATCAGGATTGGAGAAAAATTGATTAACAACCTATAATGTGCATATGAGATTACCTTGCTTCCTGGAAACAAAGAGGACTTGAAATACTTACAAATAAGATCAAGGAGAACAGTCTTCAGTATGAATTTCTTTACACCTCTGTGTAAAGAAAACAAAAATCGTCACAATGGAGAAAAGATTGAAATTATCGAAGACTTCATTTTGCTTGGATCCACAATCAACACTAATTGTAGTGTTGTTGTTAACTGCTATCAAGTTGGTTCCAACCCATATCAACCCTGTATATGGTTTCTGAGGAGTGGCTGGTGAATTAGAACCACCGATCTTGAGGTTCAAACTGACCTTGTGCTTATCCTACAGTGCCACACCAGGACTCCACTAATGAAAATAGCAGTTGAGAAATCAAATGACATGTTGCATTAGGCAAATCTGCTGCACAAGACCTCTTTAAAGTGTTCAAAAGCAAAGATGTTAGTTTGAGGACTTAGGTGTGCCAGACCGAAGCTGTGCTATATTCAATCATGTCATATCTGTATGAAAGTTGGACAATGAATGAGGAAGACTGGCAAAGATCAAAGACCACAGCTTTCAGTATGGTTACACTTGAATATATTAAAAAAAAAACAAAAACCCAAATTCTCACTACTAGACCGACCAACAAATAACATCATGATAAATGGAGAAAAGATTGACGTTGTCAAAGACTTTATTTTGCTTGGATCCACCATCAACACTCATGAAAGAGGCAGTCAAAAAATCAAAGACCATATTACATTAATCAAATCTGCTGCACAAGACCTCTTTAAAGTGTTCAAGAGAAAATGCATCAACTTGAAGACTAAGGTGTGCCTGACCCAAGCTATGGTATTTTCAATCACCTTATATGCATGTAAAAGTTGAGCAATAAATAAGGAAGACCAGAGAAGAATCAATGCATTTGAATTATGGTGTTGGAGAAGAATATTAATAGTATCACGCACTTACAGAGAAACAGAAAAATCATGTTGAAAGAAGTACAACCAGAATACTTCTTAGAAGCCAGGATGGCAAGACTTCATTCTCTTATACTTTGGACATAGTATCAGGAGGGACCAGTACCTAGAGAAGGAAATTATGCTTGGTAAAATGTAGGGTCAGCAAAAAAGAGAAAGACACCCGATGAGCTGGATCAACACAGTGGCAGCAGCAATGGGCTCAAACATAAGAACAAATGTGAGAATGGGGTAGGGCCAGGCAGTGTTTCCTTCTGTTGTACGTAGTGTCGGAACTGACTCAACAGCATTTAACAACAATCACAACATTTTATTTGGAGAAATGTCTTTAAAATCTCTTGCCCAACTTTTCATTTGAATATTTGTATCATTATAGAGTTGTAATAACTCTTTATACATTGTCTGTACAGGTAAATTATCTGATATATGGCATCAAAATATTTTCTGCAAGTCTGTGGCTCATCTTTTAATGATACCATTTAAAACATGAAAGGTTTAATTTGACAAAGTTGAATTTACCTTTTCTTTCTTTTTTTCTTTCTTTAATGATTCTGCTTTTGGTGTCTTAGCTGAAATAGTTTTCCTAAGCTAAGATCCAAATATTGTCTTCCAGGGTTTCTTCTAAAAGATTATAGTTTTAGATTTATATTTGGACTATCATTTATTTTGAGTTAATTCTCATCTATGGTGTTAGTTAAGGATATAGATGAATATATTTTTGTACATGAATATCTAATTGTCCCCACACCTTTTGTTGAAAATACTCTCCTTTCCTCGTAGAATTAATTACCTTAGCACTGTTGTCAAAAATCAGTTGAGGGTATAGCTCACAGTTTACTTCTATATTTTCAGTTTTATTCCATTATCTGTATATCTACCCCATGACAATGCTAATGAACCCTGCTGGCACTGTAGACTAAACACTGTACTGCTAACCCCAAGGACAGAAGTTCAAACCCACCAGTCACTCTGTGGGAGAAAGATGAGGCTGTCTGGTCCTGCAAAGATTTATAGTTTCGGAAACTCTGTAATAGTGTCACTATGAGTTGGAATTGACTTGATGGCAGTAGGTTATTTTGTTTTTGCTTTTGTTTTTGGTATGGCATTTCTATACTGTCTTGATTGCTGTTGCTTTATAATAATGTTTGAAATGGGTAAATGTAAGTCCTCCAAATGTTCTCTTCTTTTTCTAGATTGATTTAGCTGTTCTAGGTCCTTAGCCTTTCCATGTAAATAGATATCATCTTATAAAGGCTCACTTTGCCATTTTGTTCACCAAATCTCCTGCTTAAATTTCTGGGTCCTTTGCTAAGTCATTGCTTGTTTCTAAAAGTATTGAGTCCTCAGATTATGATGCTACCTTCCCTGTTTGCTACTGAGGTCAGTGGTCAGTTTGAACTGAAAGATTGATGGTTCAAACTCACCAGCCACTCTTCAGAAACCCTATACACTATGGGTCAGAACTGACTTGAGGGTACTTAACAACAACAACAACAACATATCTTTATGTAGGTAAAAATTGGGTTTAAATCTTGAATTTTATAAGATCCTCTGTTGATTTCACTTCTGTTCCATACACACTGCACAGATACGAGGAAAGGAGAGTATTTTCAACAAAAGGTGTGGGGACAATTAGATATTCATGTACAAAAATATATTCATCTATATCCTTAACTAACACCATAGACGAGAATTAACTCAAAATAAATGATAGTCCAAATATAAAGATAACAATTTCATTTAAACTGGGGTAAAAGTCAGTTTATGTGTAGCATGATGTAGAGATTTGAGGTTTGGACCCTTGAGTGTTAATACGTGTATGTGTGTGTGCACATAAGCACACATGTACACCTGGCATGTCCACACTGGAATGTTTGTTTGCTTTAGGAATGCGGTATATACAAGGGGGCTTCAAGATGATTGTGGAAACATGGAATTGAAAGATAATGGGATTTTCCGTGACATTTTTGAAGCCCTCTCATATAACAGGGAGAGCTGGTGTGGCGCTGTAGGATAATGCACTGGACCAAATACGTTATTGGTTTGAACTGCAAAGTCGGCAGTTTAACCTGTACAGGGTCACTATGAATCAGAACCAACTTGACTGCACTTAACAACAACAACAACAACAACATATAACAGAGTAGAAAACCTGTGCTTTTGAGTCTTTGATACTAATTCTGTGGCATTAGGCTTTACCATTGTGACCTTTTTTATTTGGAAAATGGACAATGGTGCCCTTACATAACTCAATGAAACAGTTCTACTCTGAACCATAAAGAGTCGTCACCATGAGTCAGGACCGACTCCACAGCAACTGGTTTGGTTTTGGGATTTAGGCTGGTTTTTGGATTTAGATTAAGCAGAGTCCTGGTGTGGCACTGTATAATAAGTATTGGACTGGTTACTGCAAGGTCAGCAGTTCAAACCCACTAGCCAGTCCTTGGAAACCCTATACAGGGTCACTGTGGGTTAGAACCGACTGGATGGCACTTAACAACAACAATGAGAACTAAGCAGTAACTAAGCAAGTAAAGTGCTAAACTAGTAGCCTTACACATAGTAATTGCTTAGAAAGTATTAGTGAAAACTCTTTTTCCATACATAAGTACACTGGTGGTAGTTATGTGCTGTGGAGTCTGTTCCAACTCATAGCGACCCTGAGGCTGTAAATCTTTACAGGAACAGAAAGCCTCATCTTTCTCCTGCGGAACAGCTGGTAGTTTTGAACTGCTGACCTTGCGGTTCACAGCCCAATTCATAACCACTACGCTACCAGAGCTCCTTAATTAGTAAATTAAACAATTCTTAATGTCTTAATTTGCTTTCCTTTATCCAATCAGTCTTTCAACAAGTGTTAATAGAATGCCTACCATATAACAAGCACAGAATTAGGTGGTGGGGATACAACAGTGAAGAAAACAGACCAAATCCCTGCTCTAGTAGAAATTAGGTTCAACAGCGATGAGGTGGGGATAACAAGCTGGTCTGTTTAAATATGAGTGGAATACGTGAAGGGACTTCAAAGAGTCTATGGAAAAGTGGAATTAAAAAATAATGTAATTTTCTACAAACTTCTTGAATCCCCTTGTATAGTATGAAAAAATAAATACAGCAAGTTAAGGAAAGAGGGAATAATGGGGCACTTTTGTGGCAGGTCTAATTTATACCAGGTTGTGATGGCTAATGTTATGTATCAACTTAGCTCAGTCATGATTCTAGGTGTTATGTAATTATCCTATCCTCCATTCTGTGATCTGATGGACTAAGGGGAGTTTACTTGGGGCTGTGGACTGCATTTATTATATATGATTGTTCTGGCAAAGGTTGCCCTCTCCCGTTCCTGCATCTATCTTGGTCATACTCTGACCTTCAGTTCTTGGAATGTGAGTCAGCAGCCTACTGTTGGGATTTACCAGCTCCCACAGTTACATTGGAGTCCTGGTGTGTAGGATAAGCACTGGACTAACCACAAGGTTGGCAGTTCAAACCCACCAGCCGCTCCTAGGAAACCCTGTGTTTGTTGTTATATGCCATGGAGCTGGTTCTGACTCATAGCGACAGGGTCCACAGTACTTAATAATGATGGCAACAAGACCCCCATGAGCCAGCAGCCTGCCTTCTGATCTGCTGATTTGGGTTCATCAGTCCCTGCAACCATGTGAGTCAGGAGAAACTTCGAGTCTGATACATGATCTGCTGACTTAGGACTTAGCTGCTTCTGCATGTGTGTGAGCCATTTCCTTGAAATAATCTCTCGATAGGAGTCCTGGTGTGGCATTGTGGGTTAATGCACTGGATTGCAAAGTCAGTTTGAACCACAAGGTCACTGGTTTAAGCTCACCAGCTGCTCTTCGGTAACCCTATATAGGGTCGCAATGGGTCAGAACTGACTCAACAGCACTTAACAACAATAACAAAATATGTATTTTTTGGATTCCTGGTATGATGCTGTGGGATAAAGCACTCGACCACAAGGTTGGTTAGAACCACAAAGTTGGTGGTTCAAACTCACCAGACATTCCTTGGAAACCCGATACAGGGTGACTATGAGTCTGAACCAAATAGACAGCACTTAACAGCAACAACATGTATATTTATGGAGTCCTAGTGTGGCACTGTAGTATAAGCACTGTACTGTGAACCTCAAGGTTGATGGTTCAAACCCACCAGCCACTTCTTGTAAACCCTATACAGGGTCACTGTGAGCCCGAACTGACTCCAGGACACAGAAAAACAATATATAATCATATTTATGAGGGAGCTTCAAAAATGTCTTTTCATTCCGTTTTCCCAAGACTTTCTGAAGTCTCTTTGTATATTTGCTTCACTGATTTTGCTCCTCTAGAAAACTCAGACTAATACACAGATGATTAGGGTCTCTGAGAGATATATTTAAACAGACAATTACTTGTATGACGTGAAGGTACATGGGTATAGGCTGATTGTTGTTTGGGAAAACAAGTTACAATACCTATGTACCCTTGCAAAGGTGTTGTCCTTCTTTAAGTGATTTTCGCCAAACTTATTAAAGGAAGATTGTTGTTGTTGTTGATAAGTGCTGTTGAGTCGGCTCCGACCCATAGCAACCCTGAACAGAGTTTCCGAGGCTGTAAATCTTTACAGGAGCAGAAAGCCTCATCTTTCTCCCGTGGAACAGCTGGTAGTTTCGAACTGCTGACCTTGTGGTTCGCAGCCTGATTTGTAACCACTATGGGACAAGTTGCCAAATTAACCCAAACTCATTATCTCTCAATGTGTGTGAGAGTAGAATTGTGCTCCAGGGTTTTCAATGGATTTTTTTTTTTTGGACTTTTCTTCCAAGGTACCTCTAGATGGTACTCATTAGTTCATTGCCTGTCTTGAGTTGTGTCCGTAGTTTATTTTAGATAAAACACCATTTATTGTATATCTGTTTTGTGTCAGGAATTTGTTACAGCCCCAAATATTTACCATTCACTATTAGGTAGTAAATGCTTTGTGCCTTTCCAAATTCAGATAAACAGAGAATACAAATGCAAAAGGAGCCAAGTCAGGAGCTATAATATCCAGTGCCCCTGCCACAACTCTTCTCCAACTCCCTTCTTTTCTGGTGTCCTGTGCATTTTACTGATGACCCTATGAGGGACAGGGCCCCTGTCTGAGTTACAATGTCCCAGGGTGGCACAAAATGTTTGTTTTCAACTACTAGCCTCAAAGTTTGAATTCATCCAATGATACTACTATGAAAGAAAGGCCTAGTGAGAACATGCTATGGAGCTCAGTTTTAATTTGCAGCACATGTATTCACCATGAGTCAATTCAGTGGCAATGAGTTTGCTTGTTCATTTTTGAGATATAATATTTGTTATTGTTGCAGGAGAGGGAGATTTAAAGTATCCAAATTTGTGTGCTAACATGAGTTATCGTGAGCATTCATAATTTTGCCATATAATTTTCTATACCATTAGACTATATTTGTTTTTAATTTTAGTAAATAATCTCCAAATATCAAATTATGGTCATTTAGATAAAGAAAAAAAAAAAAAAGCTTGACGAATACTTTCTGATATTCTAATAAATATTTTTGAAATATATTTAAAATTTTGATTATTATGTTATGAAAAGAAGCTCTGGTAGCATAGTAGTTAAAAGTTGGGCTGCTAACCTGAAGGTCAGCAGTTTGAAATGACCAGCCGTTCCATGGGAGAAAGATGAGGCTTTCTGCTCCGATAAAATTTACAGTCTTGGAAGTAATAAGTCAGAACCGACTCCATGGCACACTACCACCACTAACAACATCAAACGTTATCAAAGGTTAGAAATAAATGACTACATTTGCTTACATTAAACTTAATAACTCATTTTCATGATTTCAGGGCCTTCTGTCCTTAATTTTGGTGATGTTTGTATTCACTCCACAAATCCTTATCCGCTGCATGTTATTAATATGCTGCCTATGCACATTTTGATGCAGTTAAATATTAACTTAGAAGAACTTCAAAAGACCAAACAGCTTGCATATGTGATTCCTCCTACAAGCAGTACTGACATCTCAATAATATTCAAGTCATCCATCCTTGGAAAATTTTGCAAGTAAGATTTATTTTCTAATTTCTGTTGGCTAGAATCAATTGTCCTTTAGTAGCATATGTATTATTGCCTTCTAAATAATTGTAGTGTGTATGCTATTTGGTCCCCAAACACAGGGACTGTATGTGCATGGATGTATAGTTTCATATTTTATTGTTATTCTAGCTACCTTTCATAATTTTTTTTGAATATTTCATATTAAGAACTAATGGAAGATGATAATGTGACTTTTTAAGATGTAAGTATTCTGTAACTGAAAAAGAGCTTAAATCAGTTAATTTTGGATGCTTTTTCTGTATTACAGGTCTTTTACCTTTACAGTGAACAAGATACCTGGTGGACACATCTTAATGATGGCAGTTGTCCAGCCAGTAAAGCTTGAATTGTCTTCTAAAGAACTAGTACTGAAACAACATGGCTTCTCTGTGAAAGAATCCTTTAAAGGGACAGTTAGAATACATAATCCCCAGAACTATTTAGCTGAATTTAAATGGCAGCCAGTGAACAAAGAAAAAAAAGTGCCATTTATCATTTGTCCTTCTAAAGGTAATGGCTTATTCTATTTAATTTGGACATTTATTTATTAATTCAGGCATTAATCATTTATTGAGGATGTACTATATAAGCGTGCTTAGAACATTGATATAAATCAGACATGGTCATTAGGAAAATATGCCAATAGCCTATTTTCATCAGAAAATTATGCCAATAGCATACTGCAAATGCATCAATTCTTCTGTGATCTTCCTTATTCTTTGTCTAATTGTCACATGCATATGCAGCGATTGAAAATCCCAAGGCTTGGGACAGGCACCCTTTAGTCCTCAAACGACATCTTTGCACTTTAATATTTTAGTTTTGTTCTGTTCTCGACTCTTCCTTCTATCGACTTAATTCTGGGAGGTGCTGTCACATATGCCAATCTCTGGTTGTTGTCTGTTTTTGTTGGTTCTCAGTCCACAAAACTCCCTTTAGGAAGTTTTTCATAGCAGGGTTGGCTTTGGCAAAATCCCTTAGCTTCTGTTTATCCTGGAATGTTTTGATTATACCGTCATATTTGTTTGATAGCTTTGCTGGATAAAAGATTCTTGGTTGGCATTTTTTTTCTTTCAGGGTTTTATATATGTCTCCCCATTGCCTTCTTGCTTGCGTGGTTTCTGCTGAGAGATCCGAGCTTAATCTGACTTGTTTGCCTTTGTATGTGATACTTCTGTTTTCCCTGGCTGCTTTCAGAAGTGTCTCCTTATCTTTAATTTTGGAGAGCTTGACTATGATATATCTTGGTGATTTTCTTTTGGGGTCTATCCTTCTTGGAGTTAGTTCATTGAGATTCTTGAATGTTTACCTTTTCACCTTTCAGGATGTTAGAGAAAATTTCCTCCAGCAGTTCTTCAACTATTTCCTGTGTGGACTTGTGTGGTTCTTCTTGTTTTGGAATGCCGATAATTCTCAAGTTATTCCTCTTCATGTTGTCCAACATGAATCTTAGATCTTCTTCAGATTTTTTTATCCTTTTTTTGTGTTTGTTCTTCTATCTTAGTGGCATTGAGAGATTTGTCTTCCAGCTCACTGGTTCTGCCTTCCATCTCATCTATTCTACTCCTTTGCTCTTTCAGAGTATTGTCTATTTCTGGTATTCTGTTATTGATAGTTTGGACCTTTTTCTGTAGGTTTTGAAGTGTTTCCAATGCTGTATCTATCTTATTTGATTGTTCCTGTAGCACAACTTATTTTTCTCAACTCCATTGTAAAGTGTTTTGAAACATTTTATAATCATTTTTCTGAATTCCTTCTCAGGCACTTCCAAGGCCTGCCCTCCTTCCAGAAGTCTATGTCTACCTCTAAGTCATTTGTCTCAGACATTTTATCTTGTTCCTGGACATGTGCTGATATGGTCACCTGCTTTTGCTTCTTGGACATGTTTAGTGTTTTTCTGTGGCCTTTGGTATATTTTATGCTTTCTGATTGCTTCCAGGAAGATGTGATCAGGATGTGGGCTTCCCTTTTCAGTCTTCTTACTACTTTACTCAGAGTAACTTCCACAGTTGTTGTCTGTTTCCTTGGTATAAGGTAGTTGATATTCATTCTTGCCTGGGTTTTGGTGTTTTATAGAGTGTGATTGTGCTTAGAACATTGCATATGGCAGTAGTTGCTTGTGTAATATATATAGAGAAAGAATCCTCCAAAGGTAGAAGGAGGAGCATATAACAGCAAAACAGCACCAGCGGGGGAATAAAAAAACAAAACAAGAAAAAACAAAAGCAAAAACAAACAAACAAACAAAAAACAGCAACAACAAAAACTAGACTGAATATTGCAGTCTATAATCACAGAAAAGTAGAGGAGGGAGAGAAGAAAAAAAAGTCTGTAGCCTAATATGAGTATGACTTTCATGTCCTCTTTTCAGCTTCTTGCTTTCAAAGCTGCCTGAGAGATTTCAAGATGACAGTGTTGGGTGTTATGCTATACCTCAGGCTTTAATTTAATTTTCGGCCTGTTTTGTTTTTAAACTCTCTTTTGCTCTTCACAGCCCTGTCCTGCCCTTTCCCGTATTAAAAAACAAAACAAAAGACAAACAAGCAAAAATCCTTCAGGGCCTGCTCTTGGGCTGCGTATCTGAGTGCATGAGTGGCAGAAGAACCCACCAGTGGTGAGGGTGGGGGTGTCCACTTGCTCAGGCTCCCCCTCTAGTCACCAGAATGGAGGTGGGCAAACAGTGGGCATGCCAATGACCAGATACCAAAAAAAAGAAAAGAAAATCAGAACAAAGCAAAACTGACGTAGTGTATTGTCCACCTTTGCTCCAAGGTTCCCGTGGCATTTTTCGGTGGTGTTTCTACTTCCCCCATTTGGTCTTGACATTTAGTCTCGACCAAGATGTTGGCTCTGGGCCTCCGAGCCCTGCTCGGCAGATTCAAAAATATGCAATTTTTTTACTTCAGCCTCAAGTTCCACAATCTATAAGCCTTCAAACCTTCAAAATATTCCTATCTCTGTGGTTCCAAGTTTTGGAGCTCTGCCCCGGATCTGCTTTGCCTAGTATTCTATGGTATTGCTGATGGCGAACTTCACTGCACCTCCTCTCTTTCTGCACTTTAATATTTTAAAGAGGTCTTTTGCAGCAGATTTGACTAATGCAATACATCATTGATTTCTTGATTGCTGCTTCCATGAGTGTTGATTATGGATACAAGAAAAACCAAGTGTTTTACAACTTCAATCTTTTCTCCTTCATCATGATGTTATTTATTGATTCAAGTTGTGAGGATTTCTGTTTTCATTACATTGATGCTGTAGGATCAGCACTGAACTGTGAACCGTAAGATTGGCAGTTCAAGCCCACCTTGGAAACCCTATACAGGGTCTCTATGAGTTGAAACCGACTAGACGGCACTTAACAACAACATAGACTGAATGCGTATGGTGAAAGGACACAATCCTGATTCACACCTTTCCTGATTGTAAACCATTCACTATCCCCTTAATCCATTAGAACATCTACCTCTTAGTCTTTGTACAAGATCCTCATGAGCACAGTCAATGTCCTAGACTACCTATTCTTTGCAATGTTATCCATAGTTGTTATGGTCCACATAGTCAATAAAGTACAGATAAACATCTTTATGCTATTCTGTTTTTATAGTGAGGATCCATTGGACATCAACAGTGATATCCCTCGTTCCACATCCTCTTTTGAATCTGGCAATTCTGTTAATGTACATGAATTATGTCAATGAACTGCTACAACTGTTTTTTAATTATCTTAAGCAATATTTTGCCTGCTGCAAAATATTGATATTAGTGATATTGTTTCATTAGGTCACCTTTCTTTGGAATGGACACAAATATGGATCTCTTCCAATTGGTTAGCCAGATACTGTCTTCCAAATTTCTTGACATAGATGAGTGAACGCCTCCAGTGCTGCATCAGTTTGTTGAAATATTTCAATTTGTATTCCTTGAACTTCTGGAATCTTGTTTTCACCAATGCTTTCCATGCAACTTGAATTTCTTCCTTCAGTATCATTGGCCCTTGATCATATGTTACCTTTTGAAATGGTTGTGCATAGACCAATTGTTTTTGTTACAGTAACTCTGTATTCCTTCCATCTTCTTCTGATGTGGTGTGCATCATTCAGTAATTTGCCCATAGAATCCTTAAATATTTCAAGTCAAGGCTTACATTTTTTCTTCAGTTCTTTCAGCTTCAAAAATGCTGAGCGTGTTCTTCCCTCTTGGTTTTCTAACTGCAGATCTTTGCACATTTCATTTTAATACTTTACTTTGTCTTCTCAAGCTGCCCTTTTAAATGTTCTGTTCAGCATAAAAACTAAACCAAACTGATTGCCATCAAGTCAGTTCTAGCCCATAGTGACCCCATTGCCAGAGTAGAACTGCTGCATGTTTTTTTCTTTGTTTGTTTATTTTGGGAGGCAGCTAGAATCTTTAGGGAAACAGATCACCAGGATTTTCTTCTGCAGTATTGCTGGGTGTGTTTGAACCAGCAACCTTTAGGTTAGTAGCCCAGTGAAAAATATTTGCTCTACTTAGGAACCTTTGTCCTAGAATATTGTTGTTGTTGTTATTGTTAAGTGTTGTCAAGTCAGTTCCAACTCATAGCAACCCTGTATAGGATTTCTGAGGAGCAGCTGGTGGGTTTGAATGGCCAACTTTGTGGTTTGCAGTACAGTGTTGATCCTACAGTGCCATGCTTGTTGTTGTTGTTAAGTTTCATCAAGTCAATTCCGACCCATAGTGACCCTGTATAGGGTTTCCGAGGAGCAGTTGGTGAGCTTGAACCGCTGACCTTGACAGTTCAAATGGCTTTGCAGTCTGGCGCATTAACCCACAGCGCCACACCACACTAAGAGTGACTAATAGAACCCTAATTTTGTTTGAGACATTATTGTTCTTATTTAGAAAACTCTATTCCCTAGCCACCTTTGCCAATTACATGTGGGTATAATATTCTTTTAGCCCCATCCAGCTCCCATAAGCCAGCGGGCTTGTTTCAAATTGGATGTGGCATATTTTAGATTACTTAATCCCCATAAGGACTCTCTGAATTAGATACAATTGTTATTCCCATGTTTTAGATGAGAAAACTGAGCTACATACTGAGTAAGTTGTCTAAAATCTCTAATAGTCTGTGGTAGAGATACAATTTTGGCAGAAAAATCTGATCCTAGGATCCATACTCCTTATATTCACCATATTATAATGCCCTTCCACATTGAGGATGTCCATACAGTAAGAAACAGTGGTGTAGAAAGCTGGAAGGGGCATTGGTCCTTGAGGGTATTGCCAACGTATTGAGCCAGTCCTGGAATATCCATTCCTGGGCTATCTATCCCTGGGCTTGTGATTGCATGAGATAAACTCCTAACTACTTAAGTCAATGTGGTGGTGGCAGTGTGCCGTTCCAACTTATAGTGGCCCTGTATAGGGTTTCCAAGAAGCAGCTAGCGAGTTTGAACTGCCAACATTGTGGTTCAAACTGTGCTTGTGGTCCAGTCCTTTATCTTATAGCACCACACCAGGTCTCTTGTGTGATTAGTAGTCCGGTGCTTATCTTTCAGAGCCACCATGCTCCTAATCACTTCATTTATTGTTGTTTTTGTAAAGTGCTGTCAAGTCAGTTTTGACCCATATACATCTATAGGGATGTATATATTCCAACATAGTCTCTGGTGAGGTTAATGTCTCCCTCAGCAAGACCGCATGAGTGTCTGATGCTGATAGGTATTTCAAAGTGTCAGGAAACAGATGGAGGGAGTAAATTTAGTCAGGTATCACAAACGATGTTTTGCTATCTATTTTTGTAAGGCCAGCTCTAATACTGGAGTGCTTGCCTCCATTTTCTATTGCTTTGCAAATGTTGTTTGATATTTTCATGTGCCTGTTAGAGTTAGAATACAAGGTATGCATTTTGAACTTACGATCAGACCCTGTAAGAATACAGTCATTTGTGAATTTCTCATTCAGATTTTCCCGTTTTTTGGAGTATGATATTAGTAATTTATTATATAATATTATTACATCTTTATATCAGCTCGTATTTTTAATATTAATAAAATCAATAAAATGAAACTGTGATAAATATTCTATACTCTCTCTGTCTTCTGTGTAGGCACTATTGACCCATTCTCATCATTGGAATGTGAAGTAGCATGGCAGCCAAGTTTTAGTTCTCCAGAAAGGGGAGAATTAGTTCTTCAGGTCTGCGATGGGGATGATGTCACACTAAAATGTGTTGCACAGGTATTTATGTCTTTTAAATATGATTTCTATTTTTAGAGCTATAAATTGGTTAGGTATATGTGTGTGTATCACTGATACAAAGTAATTTTCAAATCTACTTTTGCATGCAATAAATTAAGTATTTTCACACCTTCTTGGAGCCAGTTCTCTACTCTAAGTGAAAACTTTGCTCAAACATGTGTTGTGCTGTGTAGAATTAACTCAGAAATCCAACAGTACTAGCTACTTTAGACTATCTCTCTCAACATATAATACAATCGGGGAGCTACTTGAAATGAAATTATTTCATTAATAGAAGCCAAAGAAAAATAGAGAAAAATGCAGTTTTCCCTAATGTATTATATTGTTACTCTTCTAGTAATAATTAGTAACTTAATATGAAAGAACTCATAATTTTCATACTAAAGACATAGATAAAACTCATGCTTTCATAGAATATCTTTATTTTAATGAGGATATGAGAAAAGTGAGAGTTGCAATATGTAATTTTAACTTTTTTCTGTGGTAGCATCTCTGAAGACTTGAGCCTCATGCCTCTTAAAAGCCAAGAATGTTCTCTACTTGTGTACAAAATTGCCTTACCAATATTTTTAGAAATTTAACAAAAGACAAATGTTGTTGTTTTACTACATTCCGTCTTTATCTCCAAGTCATGTCCATGCTCCTGTATATTCAGCAGTGAAGATCACTGTAGCCTTAAGAGATGATAGATGACTGGCAGTCAGACTCACTAAACACTTTCCTTTGCTCCAGACTTAAAATAGCAGAAGGCTACTGCTTTTCACTATGTCCAAATAATTCTAGTTTTTAGTTTTTAACAACTTTCTACAAGCACATAATACATATCCACAAAGGTTCATATTGTAAATATATAACCTCTATGATAATTGGTTTTGCTCATTCTTGGGTGACCCTTGAAAACTTTCCTTCCATAACACATAGTACCAACTTTGTAACAAGTACTCAGATCAACTAGCTCAAGAAACAGAACAGGAGTTCTTGAGTTCACTTTCGATTACTATGTGTCCTTCCCAAGGTTGAGTCGGGTCCAACCCACAGCGACCCTGTATAGGGTTTCTGAGGAGCAGCTGATGAGCTTGAAGTAAACTTGCAGTTCAAACCGACTCTGCATTCCAGCTCATTAACCCACAGTGCCACACTGGGTTTTTTTTTGTTGTTTTGTTTTTTTAATTTTGTATAAATTAATCAAGCCATATACTCATAAACCAATTATGTAATTATGTCTGGCTTCTCATGTTCACTTTTATATTTGTGAAATCCATTTATGTGGGTGCGTGTGGTTGTCCTCAATCCAGAATCGTAGTCCATTTCATGACTATGTCATGTATCCGTTACCCAGCTGATATGCCTTTGGATTGTTACAGATTATTAGCTATTAAAATAATGCTTCTATGAATAATCTTTTAGTTTGTAGCGTAATACATATGCATATATGAGGGGGATTCAAGCAGTTCATGGACAAATTCCATTTCCTTTTCACTGCATTTGTACACTACTTTTTTGAAGCCCCCTCATGTGGTGCATATGGTGAACATATGCATTTCCTTCTGTTTTTAACTGTTATTTACTTTAGTTTTTGAAAAGTCTACTAATATAAATTTACCATCGTATTCACCCAATGTGAATTTTTTTCCCCAACTGATAAAGGATAGGGAATTTAATCATTTAGGACTAGTGTTTAAAATAAGTATGTTTTAATTGAGTGATTACTATGTGTCACAAGCCCATGGTGAATGCTGTTCATGTATTCTCTAACTGAATCCTTGCAACAACCCTATAAAGCACATACTATGATTCCCAATTAAGAAATGGAGGCTTATGGAGTTAGGTAAGTGATATAAGTTGACAAGGGCAGTAAATAATCGAGTGGGAATTTGCATCCAACTCTGGAGTCCTTCGCAGCCTTTGCTGCTACCCTTGATGATAATTTGCTTACTGCTTTCCCCACACTGGAACTGAATAAGAATTCAATTCTGAGCTGTCATAGTAATTTATTTAATTATTTTAGGTAAATTATATTTTAAGTCCTTGCAGTAAAAGAACTGTGAAGTGCTACTGTTAAGAAAGCAAAGATACCCCTGAGTAGTAGTATCCAATCTGTCTGAGCAGGGCTGATGAAAGGAGATGGGGATAAGATTCTTATAGTACAATAGTGAATAGTTGCTATCAGGACTGACTGTGAGGGTTGGAAATGTAAAGGTAGATGTTTTGTAGCAAAAGGAGGGGAGTGGTTGACTTTGCTGTCCAGGAGTGGAGGTCCCTGAGACCATCAAGGGAGAAGAGTGGGACCCTACTCAGAGAAACAGTGATTCCAGAGATGGAGGCAGAGAAGATGACGTGGAGAGATGGAGCGGCTGGGGACTCTAGACCCAGAGAGGGAGAGGGTCTGTGTGCTGACGACAGAGGGACAGGCTTGAGGGGTATGCACTTGGGTTGGTTGATGATGCATGGAGAGGATTGTAACCAAGGCAATGAAAAGATATACTACGATAGGATGACATTGTCACTTCATCGTAACTAGATTGTCACTGATTTAGTTTATATTTAGGAAAAAAATTATAATATAACGCCTTGACTATTTTTTAACAAAAATAAAATACAAGGGGATTTTGAAAAATTCATGGAAGTATTCCATTATCTTTCAATTCCATATTGCCATTAACTTTTTGAAGCCCCTTCATATAAAAACTTGGAGTTGTTTAATTCATTTTGCATCTTAGAACATATTGCATAAAGACATATACCTGTATTAATTTTTTGTAGGTAATTAAAATACCTTTCTTGTGAATAAAGCAAAGCCAGTATTTTACTTACCATTGTTCCTACTGCATTTTCCCCTTTTGTCTTTTTATTATTAGGTTGGTCACACCAAGGTTGTTCTTCTGGACTCCTACATATTCTTCACTAATAGTCCTCAAGGTTTAACAAGTTGGAAGAAAACTGTTCTTCACAATGTGGGACAAAACCATGCTTTTTTCAAGGTAATATATAATGCTTGTTGTTGTTAAGAAATGTCGAGTTGGTTCTGAGTCACAGCAGCCCTGTATAGGGTTTCCAAGGAATGTATGGTGGGTTTGAACCATCAACCTTGCAGTTAGCAGCCCAGAATGTTGGCCATTTCTTATATTGATCAGATAATATCAATTGACATTTTTTTGTTGTTGTTGCCACAAATACTATAAAGTTAATACTGTAGTATTTATAAGTGGCCTTATAGCGTAGTGGTTACGAATCGGGCTGCGAACTTTAAGGTCAGCGGTTCGAAACTACCAGCTGCTCTGCGGGAGAAAGATGAAGCTTTCTAATCCCGTAAAGATTTACACCCTCGGAAACCCTGTACAGGTTCCCTATGGGTGGGAACCGACTCGACGGCACATAACAACAACAACAATACTAATTTTTAGGTAATTCATACGAGTTTCCTCTAGTTTGTCCTTTTCATGTTCCATGAGAATTTACAATGTGGACAGAATGCCGCACTTCTTTTCTCTCTTTAGTGCCCTTCCTTTTTTACTCTCTCCTTTCTTAGTATTACTTTTCTTCTTCTCCTCTTCCCCTATTTTATCCTTTCTACCATTTAGGTTTTTTTTTTTATTTTTTACTTGTGAAAAAAAGGATACTTTGCAATCACAAAATAAAATTTGAAACATGTGCATTTGTCTTTAATGTTATTTGTTGTTGTTAAGTGTTGGCGAGTCAATTCTGACTCTTAGCGACCCTGTATAGGGTTTTCAAGGAGTGGCTGTTGAGTTTGAACTGCTGACCTTGTGATTCAAACCGACCTTACAGTCCAGTGCTTTATCCCGCAGCGCCGTAATGTTTATTCCGTATTTAATTAAATGATTTTCCTGCTTAGCTCATTTTCACTCTGAAATTAGGATCATTACATTAGAAACTGAAATGTAGACCAAGGTCATTTTGAAGATATTTATTTCATAGTTGTTATTCCTGATTTAAATGGTGGTGAGCTGGGGATAGACTATTGTTGTTGTTGTTAAGTGCCGTTGAGTCGGTTCCGACCCATAGCGACCCTGTACAGGGTTTCCGAGGGTGTAAATCCTTACGGGAGTAGAAAGCCTCATCTTTCTCCCGCGGAGCGGCTGGTAGTTTCGAACCGCTGACCTTAAGGTTCGCAGCCCGATTCGTAACCACTACGCTACCAGAGCTCCTTGGGGGGGTTTTTTTTGTTGTTGTTGTTTTCAGGTTTTTTCAAAGAAGTTTTTTCTTCCTAAAAACAAGTTCAAGGCAATAATTTTACTGGAGGCATTAGAAGTTATCATTTGAAATTTTTCATTCATTGTTTACTTTTGTTGTTTTCTGCACAAATCAACTGTTGGGTCTAAATAAACAAATTGTTGTTGTTAAGTGCCTCCTAGTCGATTCCGTCCCACAGCAACCCCTATAGGGCTTCCAAGGGGCAGCTGGTGAGCTTGAACCACTGACCTTGCAGTTCAAACAACTTTGCAGTCTGATGCATTAGCCCACAGCGTCACACCAGGACCCCTCAAATAGCATATGACATGGAGTAGCAAGGAGATAGGAAAAACTTAAAGTTTAGCATGTAGTCTGGAAAAGTTTCTACTCAATTGCTTTAGAATTAGGTCTTACTTTGATTAGTTTTTTTTCCTTCACCCTCAAAAATATATTGACCAATTTCTCTTTAAATTATAATTTATCAAAATATTGCTGCTGCTGTTCTTTGCTGTTGAGTCAGTTCCGACTCATAGCGATGCTGTATAGGGTGTTTCTGAGGAGTGGCTGGTGAGTTTCAGCCACTGCCAAACTGACCTTACTGTCCAGCACATCATCCTGCAGGGCCGCACCAAAGACTGCAAATATTGTTGTTAGGTGCCATCAAGTTGGTACTGACCCATAGCAAACTTACGCACAGCAGAACGAAACACTGCCCAATCCTGGGCCAACCTCACTACTATTGCCATGCTTGAGTCCATCGATGCTGCCACTTGGCCAAGCCATCTGGCTGGGGGTCTTCCACTTTTTCCACCTAACCAAACATGATATCCTTTTCCAGTGACTGGTCCCTCCTGACAATATGTCTGAAGTATGAGAGACGAAGTTTGGCATCTTGGCCTCCAAGAGGCACTCTGGCTGTACTTCTTCCAAAACGGATTTTTTGGCAGCCCATGGTACTTTCAATATTATCCTCCAACACCATAACTCAAAAGCATCAATTCTTCTACGGTCTTCCTTTTTCACTGTCCAAATTTCACATGCATATGAGGTTATTGAAAATACCATGGCTTGGGTCAGGCGCACCTTAGTCCTCAAGCTGACATCTTGAACACTTTAAAAAGGTCTTGTGCAGCAGATTTGCCTAATGCAATACGTCGTTTGATTTCTTGACTGCTGCTTCCATGAGTGTTGATAGTTGATCCAAGAAGAATGAAGTCCTTGACAACTTCAGTCTTTTCTCCATTGATAAGAATGTTGTTTATTGGTCCAGTGGTGAAGATTTTTGTTTCCTTTACATTGAGATGTAATCCATACTGAAGGCTGTGCTCTTTGATCTTCATCAGTAAATGTTTTAAGTCTTCTTCACTTTCAGCAAGCAAGGTTGTATCATCTGCATGTCACAGGTTGTTAATGAGTCTTCCTCCAATCCTGATGCCATGTTTTTCTTCATATAACCAAGCTTCTTGGATTATTTGCTCAGCATACAGGTCGAATAAGTATGGTGAAAGAATACAACCTTGTCGCACACCTTTTTTAAATTTTAAACCATTCAGTGTTCCTGTGTTCTGTTCAAACAATTGCTTCTTGGTCCAGGTACAGATTCCTCATGAGCAGAATTAAGTGTTCTGGAATACTCATACTTTGCAATGTCGTGATCCACACAATCAAAAGCCTTTGCATAGTCAATAAATTGTAGATAGGCCTAAACTGGCTTTTGACACACTACATCATAAATCTTAGTAAGTAACTGACATTTTTTAAAGGTTAAAATAATATTCTAGAGGTAAGTAATGATAATAATTTTAATCTCCTTGATGTTATGTTTTCTACCAAGGATAAAATAAAGAAGAGGTGGTCAGCTCATTGCCCCACCTCTCCATAAGTTTGCTTTCATGTTTTAAGGATCCAGCAAAAGTTAAACTGACAATGTAGTCTCTAGAATTCTGACATCTTCTCTAATAATCATACCTCTTCCTTGTAAGTTTTTCAAAGTTTTAAAAGCACTCTAGATAATAGACAGTATCCTATTTGAACTGGAAGGTGCCACTACTGTAAGTTCTGTTTGCTGGCCTAGGATTGCAGTTGTTTATTGAGGTACAAACTCTTTGTGTGACTGGTGTTGGATAATCTATTACAAAATGGTCACATGGCCTGGACCCTGAAGTTCTCTCACTAGATTGTAGTTTGGAAACTTTCCTCAGAACTCTTTAATACAGCGGGTTTAAAGAATAATACAGAATTTCTGTACGTTTTCACTTATAGGTTTGTGACCAGAATCTTTTACCTACCATTAAAATCATTCCATCAGAAGGAATAATTCCATTTGGGCAGTTTACTGTCCTCAATGTTTCATGCACTCCCACGGTAGCAGAAAAATTTGATACAAGAGCAAAGGTATGACTTATACATATGCATATTTGCGCATGAGGTTTATTGGGCTGTTTATGATATTTATAGTAGATAAAGCACTATTAAATGACATGTACTTTATTTTCTTGAAAAATTGTTTTAAATGTTTTCTTCTAGAGGGAGCTGGTTTAAGTATTATGTGACTTAAATTCCCCCCCCCACTTTATCCCTCAATTTTCTATGAAAATTAATGATAAAATCATATGTAGTCTAATGTAATGGATATTGATTTTCCTGGAAACAGCCTAAGAATTGTATCTTACTTTCATAAAGAAATATGGAATTAAATAAAAACTGTCTTAAATCAAATATGGTGGTTTGTAATCTGAGAGTAGGCCATAATTATTATTTTTTTTAAAGCATGGTATTCTAGAAAATTTTCAAAATATGGTCACTAAAAGTAAGGATTTTACCACAAAAACAAAACACCCCAAACAGAAAATTTCTGCTACATTTTAAAGGATTATGCTGTTTTATAAAGCTTGTTATTGTTGTTGTTTTTATGTGCCATGGAATCGGTTCTGACTCATAGCGACTCTGCATAGGGTTTCTGGGGCTGTAAATCTTTATGGGAGCAGAAAGCCTCATCTTTCTCCCATGGAACAGCTGGTAGTTTTGAACTGCTGTCCCTGAGGTTAGCAGCCGATTCATAACCTTTCTTAAATAATATAGTGAGCCTTATTTATTAATTCATTCAGAACATGTTTGTTGGGTAAACAAGATAGCAAGGTATTTTGACCTTTCAAGAGCTTACAATCTGTTGGGAAATATAAATAACTCAGTAGAAAATTGCAATGTTGTATGGTAAGGCCTATGATACAGAGGGATAAGGGAATACACAGGAACGATACACAAGCCAAGCTTGAATTATCAGGTACTAAAAGATACCTAAAAGTTAAGCAGCAGCCAGATGAAGGGGATAGTGCTGGGGTGGAAGAGGTGAGAGGGAAAGAGTATTTTAGGAAGTGCAAATAGCATGTGATGTGGGGTAGAATTACAGTGGCAACTCAGATATGAGGGATTTAGAGTTTAGCGTGACCAGATTACAGATGGCCAGGCCAATGGAGAAAGACACACTTAGAGAGCTGTGCAAATTTTAGGTCATGCTGGGCCTTTTCAACAATGTTAAAAACATGGAGTTTCATATTAAGAGCTAGATCTAAGTTTTAATTTAAGCACTAGAGTTTCAAAATTAAATTTGTGGTTTTGGGGCACCACTTTGGTTACAGAGAAGTCAACTGGGGTCAACAAGATTGAGTTTAGAATGATTGATCTGGGCAAAAGAAGATGATATTGTCTTTCAAGAAGTAAGATTCTAGACACACTTAGGAGATGAATACTTAAGACCTGGTGATTGGAAATGGCTAAATCTCAATGAGAGGGGTATGCCAAAGTGAAGAGGATGGTGATACCATTACAGTGAGAAAAGCTTAAAGCATGAGTGTCTAATTTGAAAGGACGTGTTGAGTTTGAGGAACCTTTTGGGTCTAGTCAAGAGACAGGTGCATATGTACATTCAGATCTGAAGGTTAAGGGGTGATCTTAGAAGTGATAAATTTTTCTTTGCCCCTGTGATACCAAGATGAGTATAAGTATATCAAAGATACTGGTAAGTGAGAGTTTGGAAAAATAGACTTAGAAATTAAGTTGAATAAGTGCAAAATATAGACTGATTACAAGAACATCACATATCACAGACTCTCTATGATGTCCAGTAACTCTTGTCTCTTAAAATTAGTGAAAAAGCAGAAATGAAAGGAGGTTGTGGGAAGGAGAAGGATGAATGAATGAATGCTTTACTTCAGAGGTCATACAGTTATGAGGGGTGAGAGTGTCAGGTTGTAGTTCAACTCTCTAGCAATGAAAAGGTCAGGGACTAGAGAGTGAGTGAGTGTTGTCAGTCAGAAGTTTTCATTGAATGAAAAAATTATAAAGTGAGTAAAAAGCAGGCATGGGGTTCATCAAATGAAGCACACGCCAATTTGTAATTTCTTCTGAGTTATTAAATAATGTTTCTTATAAATTTTAGTCAATTGTTTATATGACTAAATATGTTATATGCTCTCTAAATTGTAAAAATTATATAATAGTATTAACATGGCAACTTGGTTAATAAAAAGAAGCTGGCATACTATTCTCCCTAATAATTTTGAATAGATGCTATTTTGTGGTATTTTTGTCTATAGACAATGTCAATGATTCTGTAGGAAAAAGTGAAATACACTCATATTGATTTCTTTACTATACATTTAGACTAAATCTAAACCATCTTTGTATCCTTGAATAGATAGGGTCTTTCATAAAATGTTCTTAGGCTTCTGAAATTTGATTTAATGAGTATCTGTTCAAATAATCTACAGTTCTTTCTTCTGTTTACTTTTGATAGTGAAAAAAAACTAAAACTATTTCACTATCTGAATTTTCTTTGAAGCAGTGAGTGTAAGTGATAAGAGCATGGTATCTAACATTAAGCAGTCAGTTCAAGTTTAGCTGCTTGTGCTTTGAAGTTATATGACTTCAAGAAAAAGACAAATGTCTTGGCCTCTGTAAGCCTTAGTTTACTTCACTTGTAAATTAAGGGTATTAACAAGTGACCTCATAGGATACTGTGGAATAAAGTGGTGATAATGTATTTAGCCCATATAATCAGCAATTTGTAGCTGCTGTTTTTATCATTGTTACTGCTGCTGCTGCTGATGTTAATAAGAGTGTTAAGAGTGCTGATGTTAATAAGAGTGCTGATGTTGCAGTCAGTTTCCTTTTGTTTTGATTTTGAAAAGTCCACTGAACTCAAAGAAAGAAAAAAGTGCTACTGAGAGTAGCAGTGAGACCTATTCCGATAGATACAGTTCTGCAATGAAATTTACCAGCCTTCAGTTGATTCCATTTGTGTTGGAGGCTTCTTAGGAGTATCAGTTGTACATGACAAGAAATGTGATTCTAATTGATAGAATAAATCTTGTGGTATTTATAAATGTTATGATCATTTAAATTGTAAAATGGTATGTAAATATCAGGTAGCATTTCTGCAATTTATGGTTGTATTTTGATACAATAAAATTTTGTATTTCTCCTAAATAAGATTGCTATTCGCCGTGCACATGTCATAGACCTTAGGATTGGTGGGTCTGTTGAGATCGCTGATGTCGAAATCAGTCCGGTGAGTATGTTACCTATTTGTGTAATCATCATAATAGTGTATTGATTTTATTTTTCACATATCCCCTAATGAGCATATATAGGTTTTTAAGTGTCTTCGTATGTAGTAATTTAACATATGTAAATGAATACATGCTATGTGTATATATATATATATATATATATATATATATATATATATATATATATGTGATGAGGCAAGATATTAAATGAAGTTTATGAACTCATCCTTGAATTTAAGTATCACAGCACACATAATACCACTAAAACTTTCTGTAGGATTTGTTATAATCCTATACGTCACAAAAGATCATTGTTTTCCTGAATCTTATTATTAGCCTGTTATTTTTTTCTGATTTTTTCATTCATTAGTTTTGTTTGTTACTGGTAAGCTTTATAACAAAGATGTAATATTTGTAGTCTTTAGTAAGTTGATTTTAATTGAATATTATGTTTCCAATGTTCATCTAAGCTCTATGTTGTTGTTGTTGTTGTTAAGTGTCATAGAGTCAGTTCCGACCCATAGTGACCCTGTATAGGGTTTCCGAGGAGCAGCTGGTGAGCTGCAGCCAACCTTGCAGTTCAAATGGTTTTGCAGTCTGGCGCATTCACCTGCAGCGCCATTTTCACTACTGCATAATTATTCATTATGTGGACAGACTACACATACTCATTCTCTTGTCTACTCAATTGGCTGCTTCTGTTTTTTGTTATTAGTATGTGTATTTCCTGAGATCATATGTAAAATGTTCTCTGGGGATGGAGCTGCTGAGATACATAGAGAAAGTGCAAGTTTGACTTCATAATATAATGCCAAAATTGTCTTCTTAAGTTTCCATATTCCATTGCTTCACAGAATGGGTTAAAAGGAGTGATTTTTTTTCCCCCATATACAAAGAATTAAATTTGCATGATAATTTCTGGATTTTGCAAAGTTAATCTATGGAACTGAGTTGGTTTTTTAAGTAAAGCACATCAGAGCCAGTTGACGTTAATAATGTGTTAGGCTTAACATTGGAACACTATTGTCTCATTCTCATTTTTATATTGTATATGATTATTTTACTAAGGAACTACATTGTTGTTAAGTGCTGTTGAGTCAGTTCCGACTATAGCAACCCTGTATAGTGTTTCTGAGGAGCAGCTGGTGGGTTTGAACTGCTGACCTTGCAGTTCAAACTGACTTTGCAGCCTAGTGCTTTATTCTTCAGCACCACACCAGGACTCCAGGGGACTATATGGTATCTGTAGTAAAGGTACCAGAAGAAGGAATCCTATAGAGTTTATGGTGCATGCACATGCCAGACATGTAAGTTAGAGTTCAAGTACATTAAACAAACATTCTTTATACACCTACATCTTATCAACTGTCTTGTTACCTGAAATTTCACATTTATGACAGTATTTTAAATCTACTACCCAACTATTTTGCACATTATCAACATGGGGATTATGGCAGCAATGGCCAAGTAACATCCTCTTCCTCTAGGAGCATCTCCAGGTGATCTCCAGAAAGCTGGGCCATGCTGCCCCTTTCCCTCTACTCTCTTCTGCTGTCAGAGGCACTGCATCCGGTTGAGTGCTTGTCAGTATCTAGCCAGTTAATGCCTGTTCTGGATTTCCATCTCCTATGTGGTCTGAGGCACTGCAGCCCAAACTTTGTTTGGGGTGGAAAAGAAAGAAAGAGGCATTGGCGAGGGTGTTTGGAAGAAATGAATACAAGTTTAATGGCATCCTATAGTGAGCTGCATTGTGCTGGATTCCTCTGCCTGGGTTGGGATAGGTGTATGGCCAGGTTCTCAAAGTCTCCTTCTATGCAGGAAGACTTCTATCCATAATTGGATTCATCACAGACATGAGCAAATCAGTATATTTTTTAAATTAAAAAAACAAAACAAAAACAACTAGAAACCTCAGACAATAGATGGTCTGAAAACTGAATAAAAAATAAGTCCTCCTCCTTTTTCACCAATTTTCACATAACAATTTTCGCATAGTGACCTGGTCTTTGGAATCTAACCATGCCAGGAAGTGAGGCGTGAGTGTCAAGTAGGTGTTAAGGATATAAAGATCAATCTGGATTAATTTCTACTAGGAAAGATATGTAAACAAATAAATGAATATGATGAAATAATTTAATGAAATTTTAGAGACAGAAATAGTTCTGAACACAAGTGAGTAATTATGGCTTCTCTAAGTGGGGTTTAAAGGATATGTAATAATATATCATCAGGCAATTACAAATTAAGGAAGGGCTTTCCTGATAGAAGGAACAAGATAAAGATACAGAGAAGTGAAACACCAAAATGTGGGTTGTAACTAACAAATCATTCAGCTTGTTTGAAGTATTAAGTGATAGGATGAGAGTGGAGCTAGCTGAAGCTGGAGACAGTCATGGGGAGTTTCATAATCCCTGTTAAGGAATGTGGCCATGGTTCTGTAGATGAGGGAGAGCGGAATCATCAAAGTTTTAAGCAGGGAAATGATGTGGTTACATTCTCAACTAGTTTAATTTTGGCCAAGTTGTAGGAGGGAGAATTGGAAAAACTAAAAATCTAGAGACTAAATGAAAGTGATAAGTTACTGATTCCATAAAATTTCAGTAAGGATAAGAGATGTGGAATCCATCTGTTACCATCAAGTATATTCCAACTCACTGTGAACCCTATAGGACAGGGTTAGAATTTCTTCTTAGGATTTTTTGAGACTAATTTTTTCACAGTAGCAGGCAGCCTCATCTTTTCCCCAAAGAGGTGATGAAGGAAGTAGAATGAACTGAATTTACACTGGACTGCTAACTGCAATGTCAGCAGTTGAAATCCAGCATCCACTCTGCAGGAGAAAGATGCGGCTTTCTATTTCCATAAAGATTTACAACCTCAGAAATCCTATACATGGTCACAATGAATTGGCAGTGGGTTTGGTAACCCATTGCATATAAGAGGTTGAGAGGGGAAGGAAAAAAGTAGCTAATTTATATAGAGTTCTTTGTAATAAAGAATGTCCTTGATAAACCTAACAGTATAGTTTTCAGTTTACATTCTTCTATATGCTATTACTCTACTTTGTAATGACTATTTCTTTTTTAAATTCTAGAATGTATTTAATTTCTATGGCGCTTATGTCGGCAGTACCCAGATTATCCCATTTCTAATTAAAAATAAAGGCATAACCCGGGCCAGAGTAGAGTTTAATCTGCAAAAATTTGAAGATTTCACCATGGAGTTGAAAAACAAATCTGGTATATGTTTTATTTTTTAATGGTATTATTATAAAAGTAAAGCCGTTTTAAGTTGTTGTAAGTTACAACTGGAAATAATTCTGTAAGTCAAGGACAATCATGCTTAAATTTGTTTAATTACTCAGTGTATATTTTTTAAATTTTGGTAAATACAGATATAACAAGAATTTGCCATTTCAACCTTCTTCACATATACAAATCAGTGACATTAAATTATGTTCATCATGTTGTTCAACCATAAGCCTTATCCATTCCCAGACTCTGGTAGCATAGTGGTTACAAATTGGGCTGCTAACCTCAAGGTCAGCAGTTCGAAACTACCAGCCATTCTATGAGAGAAAGATGAGGCTTTCTGCTCCTGTAAAGATTTACAGCCTCGGAAATCCTGTGCAGTCACTGTGAGTCAGAACTGACTCCATAGTACTTAACAACAACAATAAAAAACAAAAACTCAGTGCCCCCTAAGTACTGATTGATCCTTTCCCCTTCCTCCCATCAATCAACTCCCGATAAACACTAAAAAACTTTGGTCTCTATGCACATGGTTTTCTAGATATTTCAGATAAATGGGATCATACAATATCTTTTTTTAATGATTGACTTATTTCACTTAGCTTAATATTTCCAAGATTCATCTACATTATGACAAGCATAAAATACCATTTTTCTTTCGCATTTGGTTTATCCTTTTATCTGGTGAAGGACATTTAGGCTCTTTCTATTTTTTTATTCTTGTGAATAGTGCTAAAATGAGCATTGGTGTACACATATCTGTCTGTGAAACTATGTAAAGTCAATACGATTTAATTTTTAGAAATATATCAATATTCATATTAGAAAAGTTTGGTAATACAAAACATATCATTTTGCTTATTAATTGACTTAGTATATAAATGAAAATATAATTATTAATTTATAATTTAACTGCTCAAACATTTCAGATAAATGTCTTTGGAGAGCTTTCTGTAAAATTCATTTATATATTAGGTGTTTATTTTTAATTGTTGTTGTTGTCAGGTGCCATTGAGTCGGAACTGACTCATAGCGATCCCATGCACAGCAGAACAAAACAATGTCTGATCCTAGGCCAACCTCACTCCCGCCGCCACACTTGACGTCATCAATGATGCCACCTGGCTGATCCATCATGATGGGGGTCTTCCTCTTTTTCTCTGACCCTCCATCTTACCCAGCATGACATCCTTTTCCAGCGACTGTTCCCTCCTGACAATATGTCCAAAGTATGAGAGATGAAGTTTAGCCATCTTGGCCTCTAAGGAGCACTCTGGCTGCACTTCTTCCGAAACAGATCTGTTGGTTCTTTTGGCAGCCCATGGCACTTTTAGTATTCTCCTCCAACTCCACAATTCAAAGGCATCAATTGTTCCACGATCTTCCTTATTCACTGTCCAGCTTTCACATCCATATGAGGTTATTGAAAATACCATGGCTTGGGTCAGGCACACCTTAGTCCACAAGCTGACATTTTTGCTCTTCAACACTTTAAAAAGTTCCTGTGCAGCAGATTTGCCTAATGCCATACATCGTCTGATCTCTTGACTGCTGCTAAAATATGCATTTCTGTAATGCACTCCTTTGTTTCACTGGTTAAGGCACTGTAAGGCAAATATGATCTGCTATCTGTGTTTTGTAGATAGAGCCTTATATGAATACAACCCATTTGTTTACATATTGTCAGTGATTACTTTCATGCTATCCCAACAAAGTTGAATAGTTGTGACAAATATCATTAGGCTTGCAAAGACCTATAATGTTTACTATTTTGAACTTTACAAGGAAAAGTTTGCCAACCCTTGATTTAGCTATTTCTTCATCAATATCATCAAATCTCCATTGTATGAGTAAAGATGAATAAGATACTTCACATATTCTCAAGAAGTCTACAGTTGGTGTTATTAGTTAGGGTCTCTATAGTAGAGTGATGACTCACTCTGAAGGTTTAAATAAAGACAGTTTAATGAAGTAATTATTTATAGACGTATAGGTGGTGCTGGTAGTGTGCCGGCGATTTGATTCCAACTAAGAGCAACCCAGCATAGAGATTCTGAGGCTGTAAATCAACTTTTCTTGCATTTTTTTTTTTTTAAGAGAAAACAACAAAGAATGGAAGCTGCTACTACCACCTCCAGACCTGAAGGGACAAGAGAAGCTATCAAATAAAAGCATTTATTTCATGGCGTTGAAGCTATGAAATAAAAGCCAAGTGTTAAGAGCTATGTTGTTAAGTGTCTTCGAGTTGATTCAGACCCATAGGGACTCTGTATAGGGTTTCCAAGGACCAGCTGGTGAACTTGAACCTCCGACCTTGTGGTTCAAACTAACTTTTCAATCCAGTGCATTAACCAATAGTTGTTGTTATGTACCATGGAGTTGGTTCCGGCTCATAGGGACCCTGTGCAGGGCTTCTGAGGTTGTAAATCTTTACAGGAGCAGAAAGTCTCATCTATCTCCCGTGGAACAGCTGGTAGTATCGAACTGCTGACCCTGAGATTAGCAGCCCGATTTGTAACCATAATAGGTATAAAGAAATGCAGCATTGCTAGAAATGCAGTCCTGATAGTACCCTCTGATATCTTTCTTGTGCTTCCCAGTGGCTGAAGGTTAGTTAAGGGAGCCTGATCTATATATACTGTAGAGGTAGGAACAGAGCAGAGCAGAGGAGGATGGCTACCAATTCTAGGTAAGCAAATGGAAACCACCCAACACAATAGTGGACAAAGAATCAAGATATTGCCAAATGACATGATTGTTGTTGTTAAGTGCTGTGGGGTCGATTCTGACCCATAGTGACCCTGTATAGGGTTTCCAAAGAATGTCTGGTGAGCTTGAACCATCAACCTTGTGGTTCAAACTGACTTTCCAGTCCAGTGCATTAGCCCACAGCACCACACCAGGACATAATAGGTGCTGTAAAACCAGTTAATGCATATTGCTGAGCACATAATAGAGGAAATTAGCCCAAACTTGGAAATAAAGATATCTTGGAGAAGTTGACATCTGACCCAAATCTTGAAGAATGAGAAGAGTCTCATGCAAAGGGGATATTGGAAAGAATGTGAGTAAAGGTCTAGGAATGTTGTTCAGGATACCCAGAACATAGACAAGACTGGAATGGCAGGTGGGGCTCAGAGAATCAAGAGACTTTTATATGTCTATAGGTTACTGGTAGTGTAGTGGTTATGAGTTGGGCTGCTAACCTAAGGTCAGCAGTTTGGAACTACCAGCAGTTCTGCAGGAGAATATATATATTTAGAGAGATGAGGCTTTCTGCCCCCATAAAGATTTACAGCCTCAGAAACCCTATACAGGGCTGCTATGAGTCAGAACCAACTCCACGGCACACACCACCACCACCATAGGTTAGGCAGCCCCATTAAAGAAATTAAATCCGGGGAATAGTATGAATATTTTGTTTGTGTTTTACTGATTTTCTTTTTTGAGCAGTGTAGAGAATGGGTAGGGCTGGAAAAAAAGGTGTGGGAGTAAGGGAAGAAAGACCAAAGACAGAGACAGCAGTCAGAAGTTATGCCCATATAGGTGAGAGAGAACTTGGCCTCAGGAAATGATGCTGAGGATGGGAAGAAGGAAAGTAAGATACAGAGAAAATAGAAATGCTCTAATTTGGTGACCTAGAGGATGTGTGTATTAGAAAAGAAGAGGAAATAGCTGGAGGTTCCATTTATAGTTTATGGAAAATAGAAACAGGATACATTTAAATGTGTGGGCATATTGTGTCTAAGAGGAGGATATAGCCCAGGAAAGATAACAGTAGGAAGTTGAATATGAGTTCTTTATTCATCTTTTAAAATCTGGATTTTGAAATTTTAGTTGTTTTACCACTATTTTCCCTGACTGACTTTTTTTTATATTTACCTGTCTTGTTCAATGGACCACAGACTTTTCTTGATTATTCTGTAAGACTACGCTGGAAAATGCCTTCATTTCTACCTTTCTACATTAGTTCATGCCTCCATCTAGTCTACTGCAGCACCTCATTAAGTGCTTTCCCTCCCTCCAGGCTCTCTCCTCATACTAATTCCAAAATGGTCTTAAAAAAAATATCTCATCACATTTCTCCTCATCATAAAAATCTCTGATTTCCCATTAACATTAGCAGTGATTATCAGCAGCAGACTGTTGAAACAGTCTAGGAGACACATAGGTGATCTTAATAATTAGAAATGAAATATATGTATAATATGTCCTGAAAATATATTCTTTTATAATATCCTAAAGTTTTACTTATTTATGTTATTGTTTAGAATATTCACAACAAAACATTCACTGATTCAGTGTACAATTCAGGGACATTTATTACATTCTAAAACTTGTGCAACCATTTTCATTCTCCTTTTCTGAGTTGTTCCTCCCTTATTACCATAAACTCACTGATAGTTTCCTGGATAATCTTTCCATATGTTGTTGATAAGTGCCTTCGAGTTGGTTCCCACTCATAGTGACTTCCTCCTTTGCCTGAGTCTCCTTTTTCCTGTTGTTCCAGGTAAATAGAGACCAACTGTTGATTCTTGAGAATATTTAATTTTTAAAATACTTGTGATAGTGTCCATCTTTGACAAATTACACTTTGGTTTTTTACAAAGGCTTGATCAGTTCAGGATTCTTTGAGACAGTGACTGATATACTAGGACATGGTGCGGTCCACTTAGTATGTTTCTAGCCTGTCTTGCCTGTCAGAGCTCCACCTTTCTGCTGTAGCTATTATTATTATTATTGTTATTACTGGCTTCCTTTTAATCATAATGGGTTTCTCTTCTCCTGGCCTTCTATTTTGGCTGCCTAAGGAGCTCAGATAGTGTAGTGGTTACGAATCGGGCTGCTAATTTCATGGTTAGCAGTTTGAAACTGCCAGCTGTTCCACAGGAGAAAGATGAGGCTTTCTGCTCCCGTAAAGATTTGCAGCCTCGAAAACCCTGTGCAGGGTCAGTATGAGTCGGAAGCAACTCAACAGTACTTAACAA